TGCCTTCCTATTGGCTGAGAGACGACCAATCAGTGCTTGAGACAGCAATGATTGGTGAGCATAAAGAAGACGGGCAGCCCTTAAAGCCAATCGCTGAGAGGCAGAGGCGGGGCTGTTTGGGGAGAGTCAGAGTCCGGCTTGGTGTGAGGTGCCGAGAGGTGAGGGTCTGGAGACAAGCGAAAACTGGCAGAAGACAGGCATCACTGATGACCAATCGCTGGAGAATAAGAGTGGGGCTTTGAGGTGGCTGGAGCGACTGGCGTGGGTGGAATGGAGGGAGTAGCCCGGAGAATGACGAGGACTGGTTGTGAAGCCAAAGACGGGCAGGCACTGTGGCCAGTCGCAAGGGCCGTGGGCGGTGCGCCACAGGCGCGGCTGGAATATGCAAGGTGCAGCGTTTGTCCCTGAGCATGGCGGCTAGATGTGCTTTCGATACCATGCACGAGGTCCCCTGAAGCTGTGTTGAGTGAACTTAAGCCATCACGGCCGAAGGACTCATGGATAATGCTCTATCCCTTCCCCGCCATTCCCCTGCAAACGACGTGAAGTGGGTCAACCCGCTGGAGGTCACTCCGGCTCACCTCTGCAGCTCGGGGTTGGTGTGAAGACATGGAAAGAGGTGGAATCTTAGGCACTTTGAGGTCTTTCTGGAAAGGTGTGACTTCTCTGAGTTCATACTTTCTGTCCCGAGATCCAATGACACTTCAGTTTGGCCTCTTCCCTAATAAACCTTCTGTGAATTGTAAACCTTTCCTTAATCTTAACCATAACCCCTTGAGTTCAAAGCAAATTTTGACCCTCTTTTACAGAAACTGAAAGGAGCACAGAGGTCAAGCTCCTTGCCTGACATCACAAAGCTCTTCAGTGGCTGGATATGGGTGTGAACCTAGAACAGTCTGCTTTTTGGAAAGGGGTAAGGCAAGTGTCAAAGAACAGCCACTGGAGGCCTAGGAGACTTGGGTTCCAATTTCTGTTCCACCAGTGACCCATGGCACAACCCTGGGCACACTGATCCTCAGTTTCCTCATAAGACAGTGATTCCTATACCTGGAGAACTTACATTCCAGCCCTTGCCTTGACCTTCTGGTGAAAGTGTTTGACCCACAGCAGGTCACATCAGGTCTGTGAGCCTCACCCACTTTGAGATTTGGTTCATGGAATTCTTTGCAAACAGACATCAGCAGTTTAGGAAGCCATCTGTCATCTAGTGCTCTACCACCACCACTGGTACCTCCCCCAAGCCCACCCTGTTCTCTGACTCCCTTAATCTGGGCAGAGAGCATTACAAATGTTCCTAGTTACTGGCTCTTATTACTCCAGGTGCAGACTAGGGGTTGGTGGAGATACAGTTCAGAACCAGGGAGACCTGGGAGGGAGAATAAGGCTGAGCTAAGCGTTAATAAGGGTTCGGATTTCAGGGCTGTACTAGTCCCTGGTAAGTGATTAATCCATGACATCTCAAAGGGCCCTCCTAGAGGAAATGACTTGGGCTCATATCATGAAAGTCAGTAGTCCAAGGCTACCACCTGACTCATGCTACTCCCATGATATTCTTGCCTCCTCTCCCATACCTCCTAGTGTTTTTCTTCCCTGAAACTTCAAGGCCCTGGTATCCATGTTCCCCTCCAGAAAAGAGGAAGAACCAGAGTCTGCCTATTGATAGCCTACTGAGTCAGTTCCTTGCCAGGCCTTGTGCTTCCCAAACACCATGTCACCACGTGACTTCCAGATGGGGGTGATGGTGCCCACTTTGCAGATGATAAAACCTAGCCTTGTGTGACTTGTGTTTCTTCCTGGAATAGTCAAGGGCTAGGTTTGAATCCCTGCTCCTTTAGACTTGCTGGCCACAGAGCTTCCAGCAAGGGACTCAAACTCTCTGCCTCAGTTTCTCTAACTACCTCCCCGGGCTGATGGCAGCATTAATGAATTGAATGGAAGTAAAACTCACAACTATATTGGTCTGCAGCAAGTGCTTGCGAAGTGTCTGATGGACAAATTGTTCTTGGGGCCTTTTTGTAAATAGCACTTTGAAATGTGAACAGAGACCTACTAGAAATGTGTCCTGTCATCCCAAGAGGGAGATATTAATGCTGGAGGAGGTCCTACTCACAGCACCCACCTGCCAGGCCCTGAGAGGGAAACAGCAAGCTCCTAAATAGTCCCACAGTACTCCAGGCAGAGTGCCAACTGAGGCAAGGGTCAGGCAGTGGCCTAGTACCAGGTGCCTATCCTGTTGGTGCCAGAAACACTGGCTGGGCTCTGGCTTCTGTGTGCTTATCAGTAGGATGGTGCCAAACAACCTTTCTATAGCCTTCCAACAATGTCACCCAAAGCTCCTTGGCATCAGCAACTGACACCCCCACTATGGGCGCCCTGAATGTGCCTGGCCAGGGTGCACAGGATCCTAGCTCTTCTGAGCTGGCCTGGCTGGCCCTGGGCAGGAAACTGCTTCTTTGCTGTCCAGTTTCCTCTACCTTTCTGGGTTCCCGGGAATCATCTCACACAACAGCAATGAGCCAGGCCTAGGCACAGTGACAGGGCTTAATCAACAAAGACCAGAGAGCCATTTGCCCAAGGTAAGGTTAGCAATGTTGGCAACAGAGGAGGGGACAGAGGCAGACTGAGCTGGGTTCTCATCCTGCTGTGGCCCCACCAAATGTCAGTGAATCTATTTCTCATCTGGATGATGAAGTTCACAGGCCCTGCCTCTCTGAAATATGTTTATAACCCTAGAGCCTAGGCCCTTCCCTGGCTGAAGGGACATGTCCTAGACACAAAAGAGAATACAGCCAAGCCCAGCTGGTCTCACCCAGTCTCCCAGAGGCTCTGAGAGGCCTGGCCACTCAATCAAGAATACCCAGCAACAGAGGCATGGCCTGAATGTGCTAGCACCTCCCTTGAAGTGGTATCCCCCTCTTCCCACATTTTGATGTCATCAACAGTGTTGATGAGAGCTCCTTAGAGGAGTGCTGTGCTGGGCATAGACCCAGCCAGGCCTTGTAGGGTGATATTGCCCAGTGCAGTGACACACACTTAGCCTGTTTTCAGGTGAAGAGGCGAAGGCTAATTTGAGGTGGCAGAGCAGTGACTAGAACCCACACATGGCCAACTTCTGTGAAACGTATGGAGTTCAGCTGGGCATGGGATACTCAGCCTGAGGACATGCAAACAGGCCCTGAGCACACCCACTGAAGATGCCCATTTCTTCAGGCTAAGGTGGGAAGAACTGATAAACAGGAGTCACCCCTCCCTAAAATCTGCAGCTGTAAGAAGGCTAGCTGAGAGCCCAGGGGAGGGCCCCAGGCTGTGGAAGAGGCCTTCTCTCCAACTACTCTGTGTACTTATTAATTTATTCAGGTATACACTCAGAAACGTTTACAGGAAGCTGGAGCAGAATGGGGAAAGAGAAACCTACCCACATGGAGTGGGGGGGGGGGCAGACAAACAGGAAAGCATACAAAGGGACCTCAAATGGTGTCAGAGGCATAGCACAAGGGGTGATGGGGTTGTAGTACTGGGGAACAGAAAGGGCAGAGGGAAGGGTGCTCCAAACAGACAGCATAAACTGTGCAATGGCCCTGAGGCAGGGAGGCTGGTGTGGCTGAAATTATGATTAAAGGAGAGCATGGGGAAAATGAGGGTGGGGAATGGGCAGGGCCTGCAATCTAGTTTGGTTTTATGAGAAGAGTAATGGGGAGCCACGGGTGGATTGAGAGCAGAGCTGGGGCAGAAATCACAGGATAATACTTCAGGCTTCCTCAGAAACTGCCTGGCAGCATCCATGCCCCCATCTGACAAATGAAAAAAGATGAAGATCACAGGACCTGAAGGCTGCCCCACAGTCATAGAACTGTTCCAAGGTTACATGTGTTGCCAACCCAGAAGTCAAAGTCAGGACAGCCTAGAGCAGGCAAGGGATCCTTCTCTGAAACCCCAGTCAGGGAAAAAAAAAAAAAAAAAAAAAAAAAAGTCCCTGGTGAGGGGAGTCAGGGCAGAGTGACTGGGGCTGAGGGTCATTTCAGCCCCACTGGGGTGGCAGCGCACACCCAGCTAGAGACGGGAGACATGGACACAACAGGGAGGTGGGGCCAGGGTGATGCTCCCACAGATGTTTGTATCAGCCAATATCCATGGAAACCAGGAACCTTCTGGGAAAGAGGCTTGAGCTGACATGAAGAGTGGAAATGGGGCCTTTCTCAGGCTAGAGGAGGTGAATGACCAGCGGAGAGGCAAGGATTCCAAGAGAGGAGAGGGGCCAGATGCGATACCTGGAGCCCACCAAGGGTCTTGAGGCTGCTCTAACCCTGACTGGGCCATGTGAAATGCATGAGCTTTCAGGTGACCACAAGATACCCCCTCAGTGTGACTGCAAAGAAGGAGAGCTGGTTCTGCCAGGCACAGCTGTCTTGGGACCCCAAGAACACTTGGGAAGTAATGTGGGCATCAGGAGTAGCAACAGTGATGTTCATCCTACAGATGGGGAAACTGAGGTTCAGAGAGAGAAGACAGGCTGCGCAAGCCACCCAGCAAGCAAGGACCTCAATGTGATCAGGAGGGAGAGTGCAAGAGGGTCCTCCTGGGGTGAACAGGGTGAAGCTAAGACAACCAGGCACCTTCCATGTCCTAGCTCTGCTCCAACACCGAGGAGGGCTCTCTATCTGTCCCTCCACTCCCTGTTTTACAGAGGATCAGATGGAAGCTCAGAGAGGCTAAGTCACTTACTGAAGGCCACATAGCCGAGTTGGGGCTGGATGCTGAGCACCCCCAGCTCCCCAAGACAATGTATGCTCAGGACAAGTAGCAACCTTGGCAGACCCCAGGCTCATGCCAACCATGGTCCCAGCCATCTATCTATCAGCAACATCAGTTCCTATATCCCAGATTGTTCTCAAAACCTCTCCACCATCCTCAGACTCCATGGCTTACCCAAACATCCACCCTTCCTGTCCTCTGAGACTACTGACTGAAGCACCCCCACAGCACCACAGAAGAGAGCCCTCTATCCTTCAACCAATGGTCTTTTATTACCAGGCACCACTGGCTGGCCTGGGGCCCCAGAGATGGACCAGCCTCAGTTGCTGCCCTCTGGCCAGGAGAGCAAGGTATCTTTGACCCATTTACAGGTGACAAAAACAGGAACAGGGAAAGGATGGACTTAAAAAGGCCAGAGCAGGATCCATGCCCCACTCTGAGACTGGCCAGTGTGGCAGCCAAATTTCAGATAGCACTTTGCCCTAGGCAGTGCGAGGCCCTTCTGGTAGGAAAGAACTGGAGGGATGGGTAGGACAGGTGATACCAATGCTGTTGGCTGGTGAGGGGAGCACAGGACCCAGTGTAGATGCCTTACCAGTGCTCCCTCAGCTTGTACCTGGTGCCAGTCAGAAAACACCTCTTGCTGAGTTGGGGGAGGAATCTGGAGGACAGACTGGCAGGACATGGATCTCTCCTTTTCCTGAGTCACATGACTCACGCAGAGTCTCAGGCCCACATGACTCACGCAGAGTCTCTGTGGCTGGGTCATGGTGCTAAGTTGCCCTTCTGGCCAGTCCACAGCTCTCGGAGCTCTACACGGCAGCCCAGGTCCCGCAGGGCAGCTTTGGCCACATCCTCGCAGTCTTGGTGGGCAACACGGGCCTGAACAATGAGTGCTTCAGCCCCCAGGTCCAGGATGAGCTGTGAGAAGGCCTGGCTTCGGGCCACTAGGTTTCGGATCAGCATACAGGCCTGTTTCTAGAAGGAAGAACAGAAGGTAAAGGCTGTCAGCTGGTTCGTAGGGCCATAGGGTGGGACCACTCTGACCTTGGGGTTATCCCTATAACATACTGGTTCAATCATGGCCACAGCCAGCATTCACCAGGTGCTATGCTATGACTCATCAAGCTAAATGCATTCTTTCATTTCATCCTCTCGGCTGCCCAAGAGGCAGAGCAAATCCCCAATTTGCCATGTGAGGAGACTAAAGTTCAGGGTGGTCGAGGGCTCAGTAGGTGGAGCTGATCCCTCAGGTATAGAACCTCAGTCTCAGAGTCTGGCAGAGGCCCCAGGGGAGGAGGCATCAAGACAGAGAGAAGAGGGGCTATGCACAGGGCCCATCTGTCAATTACATTGGTATTCCTTCAGCTAATATTTGCACCCTGCATATCTGCTATGTGTGGGTACCAGAAGCACCCCAATAAGGCTTCCATCACAAGTGGGAGAGCAGATGAGAAGTAGATGAGGTGTGAGGGTCTCCTGGCTAGGGCAGTCAGGAGAGGACAAGGTAATGGGCCAGCCAAGGGCACAGAGTCCTGAAGGAAGAACCAGGAAGGAGAAGCGTGGGTTTCAGGCCAGGGTGTGTGCATGGCTCTGCCTGCAGTTCAGGCATGAAGACTCCCCAGTGAGGCATGGAAAGCAGTCCAAGGCAGGTGGAACCACCCCAAATCCTAGCAGAGCCCCATCTGCTCTCTCCCATTACCTCTTCCTCCTCAGAGCACTACAAAGGGCCTGTTGGGAAAAATCAGATGCAGGAAGCACAGAGGAACAGGGACAGTATACTATGAAGGATGCTATGTAGCTGCAGGACTCTAGGAGCTGGGAAGGAGTAAGAACCCACACAGCTTGGGCCATAATGGGTATGGGGACAGGGACAGGGATGTCTGGCTCCCACCTGCACGCCAGCCTCCTTTGGGTGTGCCTTCATCGCCTCCAGTGCAGCCAAAGCCCCTCCACCCTCCACGATGACCTGGCTGTTCTCTGGTTTGCGCAGGGCCAGGACACACAGGGCTGCACAGCTCTGCTCACACACCTGCAATGTGGGTCACAGGGATGGCTGAGACCAGGCCAACAGACTTCCGCCACTGCCAACTTCCCAGGTGAGTGTTCCAAGGCCTCACCTAGATAGACCACTGTCAGTCCAGGTGTGTATAGGACCAGTAGTAACAAGAACAGTATCAGGGTGACAAAAACATCAACCAAGCTCTTCTGCCCCACTCCTCCCTGGCTTGCCCAGCCCCTAACTTGCCAGGCCTCTCACTTGCCAGGTCCCTCCTTCTCCCTGCTCCTCTCACCCCAACTTGAGGCAATGGAAGAGCATCACTCAGATACAGTAACTAAGCTGGGATTCCAGACACAATGCCCCACTTTGTGTGCCCCGGGTGGTACCTGGGGGCTGGCCAGGTGCCGGGTCATGGCAGCCACAATGCACTCTGTCCCTCCTGCACGGACAATGGCATCCTTCACATCATCGTTACCCGCAATGGCTCGTAGGGCACTCAGCACCTGCTTCACAAGCTCCTATTGGAGGGCACAAAGGGGGTCACCCCTGATGCAGTCAGCCCCCTTCCTGTTGATCCAGGAAGGTTGCTGTACTGTGGGAGGGGTTACTGAGCAAAGGTCTAGGCCTATTCAGCAGTCTGAACAACAGCTGGGGCTGCCCTGGGACACTCAAGTGGCATGTAATGGCAGGGTTACTACTCACTGTATAGGGAAGGCAGTGAATGTGGACCCTGCAGTTACAATGACCTTGACTCCCCCCAACCAAAACACAAACACACAGGGGGGGAATTGGCTCAGGTCAGCAATCAGAACAATAGGGCCCCCTAACCTCAGCTGCAAAGCAAGAGTAGGCACTGACTAACCTGAATGGTTGTCACTGGGACAGCAGGACTATTGCTGCCGGCAACCAGGATGCCAGGCCCTAATCTAGACATGTGGAAAGGGGGTTGGCAAGTGACTGGTACATGAAGTCATGATGGGTTGAAATTCCTCCCCGTTAAACAGATGACGAAGCCCAGGTAGTGAGGGACAGGCCCCACTCAAGCATCACACAGTTGAGCTGAAGTCTGGGTCAGCTCCAACAATACCCACTACTGCTCCTTCTACTCTTGGTAGAAAATATTGAATATAAAGGTGCTAAAGGATAGTTAGAGAGGGCAGGGTAGGGGGGTTGTCTGCATCAAAACTCTAGTTCCCACCTATGGGCCAATGAGAAGTAGAAACCACATTTTGGTTCTAGGATCAGCAGACAAGCCAGTGTGCCCTGACTCAGGCTGGGGTGGCTGGCAGAGGCCTAAAAGGGCAGAGTTCCCTGAAAGGCTGGAGCCTTCCCCAGGCATGGAGAAAAATGTCAAATTTGAACCCTAAGGTAGCTCTGGATGCCCACCTGGTGGTCGATGCAGTCGGCCAACAGGGCCATCAGGATACCGAGGCCCCCAAGGTCTACGACCTCCTGGCAGAACTCGTTGCGAACAGCCAGACGGGACAAAGTGCTGCAGAGCTCACTCAGGATGCTGGGGTTGTCAGGGAATGCTGCAGAGAGGGAGAGAGAGGAACTGGGGAGGTTAGGAGGGGGCAGAGAACCAGTCACAGCTCTGAACCAGTGGTCCTGGTTCAAATCCTGTTCCACCCTCTGCCTGGGAGGGTGGCTGCCTATAGGAGAGCCTCAGTGAATACCAGGGGCTCTCTGGACCTGCAGCAGCCCCTGCTGGCTGCTGGGGAAGGTACTAGATATCTCACACCCCCAACCTCCTGCTCCCCCCACCTCCTCACCATGCCCTAGATAAATTCCAGACCAACTGATGGTGTCACCTAAAAAAAGAAAACCGTAATAGTGCTATAATAAAACATCCAAGACTATTTTTATGATCTTGGGGTGGGAATGACCTTTCTAAGTGCAACAGGAAACCCAGAAACCATAGAGAGACTTATAGATAGAGTTGACAGAGCAGAACTGAGCAAAAACATGGAGACCAAGCTCAGAGGCACAGGGAGGAGAGGCTGCTCTGAGGCCAATATGGGGAGGGGGGGGTAGAGAGCCAAAATTTACAGAATTAATGTGATAGTTCGTCAGCTCTTGTGCCCCAGTGACTCCACGAGAGTTAATCTGGGTGTGCCATGGAGGTGTTCTCTAGACATGGTAACATCCATCTGACTTTAGGGAAAGCAAAGAACCCTGGGTAGTTTGAGTGGGCCTCATCTAATCAGCTGAAGGCCTTACAGAGAAACTGAGGTCTCCCTGAGGAGGAAGAAGCACCCCTGTGGACCACGGTGTCAGTTCCTGCCCCACGGACTTGACTTGAAAGCCCCATAACCATATGCACCAACTCCTTAAAATAACTGTCTTTATATATCCATATATCCTACTGGTTGTGTCTCTCTGATAGAACCCTGACTGTAAATAAATGAGAAAGACACAAATGACCCCTCGTAAAAGCAGCCTGACTTCCAAGATGATCAGGACCTGTTTCCACCCTCTCCAGGGGTGTGAAGGTGAAACTGAGGCAGGCCCACCTCCCTGGCAGACAGGGATAGAGTCCTGCACACGGACCTGGCTATTATGCCTGACTATGATTTCCAGGCAGTCCAGGAAAGAAAACTCATTCTTCCACTACCTTCAGTACACTAAACCCGTCATGCTTTTTTTGGTGGGTGCAGTGGACATGGGGCTGGAGCTTTGGGGTCTGAATGTCAGCTCTGCGACCCCCTGTGGCTTGCTTACTATGGTTACCCTGGAGTCAGGAACATATCCATGCACAAGAATTTGTGGCCAAGTGTGAACCAAAGTGTAAAACCACTACCTGGGACCCATCATGGTGAATACAACAACACTACCCCCATCTTTGGGAAACACCTTTTTCTCTTTGGGGAGCTCTCCCTTTCCCACTCCCAATCTGGTTGGACAGAGCCAAGAACCCTCCCCAAATGGCTTTAGACATGTTCATACAACTCAGTCATGGCCAATGAGCACTGGCCTGGATCTCTCCTGAAATAACTGGAAGGATACTGATCCACGAAGGCTACCATGCAGGTGGGATGAAACCAAGACATGCAAGGTGAACCTAGAGCCACATGCCTGAAGCAGTCCTAAGCCCTGACTCTAACTCTTACCACACCTGCTCCTACCTTTGGCAGCCTCAATAAGCACCTTCAAGCCTTTGTTCTCCTGCACAATCATCTTGGCATGGTCGTGGGCGTGGCCGAAGGGCACACGAATGTCATCATCAAAAGTCATGATACGGAGGCCCCAACAGGCCTCCCTGACCACATCAGCACAGTGGCTGTGCCGAGTGATGGCACCAGTCAAGAGGGGCAGCACACCAGCCTTCACTAGATTCTGACGATTCTGTTCGTGTTTCAGGCAGGCATGGCGAATGCAGCGGATCCCAGTGCAAATCAGATCAGTCGAGTCGCCATTCTGGGCCAAAGTGGCCACCAGCAGCTTTAGGCCCTGGGTGTCCAGAAGATCGGGTTGACCATCGATCAGGGCTGACAGGGCGTTAAGGACCTGGAGAACAAGTCCCTGGTCACCTGCTGCAGCCAGCTTCCAGGCGGCAAGGAGGATGGGGTAGGCACCCTTCTGAGCTGCCAGAAAGCGGCAGGCTCTGTGCTGTTTGCACTGCTCACAAAAGCGGGCAAGTTGCACTGACACCTCCTGGGGGTGACAGCAAGCCACAGACTCCTGCAGGTCTTCCAGAGCCTAAGAAACAGGGAGAAACCTCAGTGTCAGCTCAGCCCAAAGAGGGCCACAGTGATAGTGCTGCACTACTGCAGGATCCCCTCCCCTGGGGTCTGGGCCTGCACTGGAAGTTCTGCGGGGCCAGTTCCGGCCATGTTAGCTTCCATACCTGTGCGTTTAGGAGCCTTGGGCTCCAGCCCTCTCAGTATCCCTGCTAAGGAGCCATACACACAAGTGTAGATGTATTAAATATTCTAATGTGAGAGGTGCCAAGCAAGACAAACAGAACTGTCCAGCTGAGCTCATCAACCCAGTAGAATCCTAAGAAACACTAAAAGGGCTGTTGTTTGGGGTTGTCTATTATGCAACCATAACTAACCAATGCACCCTCCAATGGCCAGCTCTCCAAAGAAGCTGAAAGCTGCCTTTCCTAGACCTGCTCATACCACGTTTCTCCTGTCTCTCTTATTCACTCCACAAATATTTTCTGAGGATCTGTCAAATAAAACTACAGTGTACACATAGCTGATTCACTCAAATTCAGCTCTTAAACCCCTGGGGAAAAAATAATAATAAAAGAAAGCAATCTGAACAGGACAGACAAGTATAGCTGCTGTTCAACTCCATGACCTCAGTGCCTGCCTGATCAGGAGCCTTAAGACAAACCCATGCCTCTGGAGCTTCTGAAATCACTTGTACCCCACCCAGTGAAGGGCAGTTCTACAGACACCATAAGCCCAAAGGACTTTAATTTTGTTCAACTGTCCTGAAAGTCACAGATGCCTATCAGCCAATCTCACTAAACTGGATTTCTAGAGTTAACTGAGTATATGTTGCAACAAAGCAGAATATTAAGAAATAGGTTAAGATCAGGAGACTTCCGCCAAGATGGAGGCGTAGGTAGAAACACTGTACCTTCTCGCACAACCAAGTTTAAAAACAACAAAGTTTTAGCAACAAAAATGCAGCCAAACCACAGAAAATTGAACTATATGGAAGTCCGACAACAACAAACCCTTCAGCCAGACCGGTAAGAGGGGCGGAGCCAGCAGTGGAGTGGGGGTGGGCAGGAAAGATCCACAGGACTGACCCAGGCACGCAACCCAGGTGCACAGGCAGCCGTGGGTGGATCCCAGGTGTGGAGTAGCGGGCAGACCCACGGAGGGCACAAGGCAGCAGGCTGATGGAGTTCATACATTCTCACGTAGATAAACCAGGTGAAGGAGCAAGCAGTGAGACAGACCTCGCAGGCCCCGGCCCCCAGCAGCGGGAAGCAGCAGAGGGGACCGCTATTGTCCCTCTTTGACCCCCACCCCCACATACAGCATCACAAACCAGTGATGTGGGTGGCCCTGCCCTGGTAACACCTAAGGCTGCTCTCCTCATACATAACAGGTACAAACAGACAAAAACATGGCTCAAGAAGAGCCAATTTTTGAGTTGAATTTTCAACTCAAAGCCCCAGAACCAATAAATCTAAGCAAACAAGAAACTGCCAAACTATCAGATGCACAGTTCAAAACACTGGTGATCAGGATCCTCACAGAACTGGTTGATTTTGGTCACATATTAGAGGAACATATGAAGGCTAAAATAATTGAAATGAAGGGAAATGCACAGGGAACCAATAGTGATGGAAAGGAGACTGGGACTCAAATCAAGGGAGTGGACCAGAAGGAAGGAAAAAATGACCAAACAGAAAAGAATGAAGAAACAAGAATTCAAACAATGAGGAGAGGCTAAGGAACCTCCAGGACATCTTTAAATGCTCCAACATTTGAATTATAGGGGTGCCAGAAAGAGAAGAGGAACAGCAACAAGTGGAAAACTTATTGAACAAATAATAAAGGAGAACTTCTCCAATCTGGCAAAGGAAATAGCCTTTCAGAAAATCCATGAAGCTCAGAGAGTCCCAAAGAAGTTGGACCCAAAAAGGAACACACCAAGGCACATCATCATTACATTAGCCAAGATTAAAATGAAGGAGAGAATCCTAGAAGCAGCAAGAGCTAAGGGGACAGTCACCTACAAAGGAGTTCCCATCAGACTGTCAGCTGATTTCTCAAAAGAGACCTTACAGGCAAGAAGGGGCTGGAAAGAAGTATTCCAAGTCATGAAAACCAAAGACCTACAACCAAGATTGCTCTACCCAGCAAAGCTTTCATTTAGAATGGAAGGACAGATAAAGTGCTTCTCAGATAAGATCAAATTCAAGTTCATCATCACCAAGCTCTTACTATATGAAATGTTAAAGGAACTTATCTAAGAAAAAGAAGATAAAAAAGATGAACAGTGAAAGGACAGCAAACTCACAGTTATTAACAACCACACCTAAAACAAAAGCAAACTAAGAGGACAGCTAGATTAGGAGCAGAACCATAGAAATGAAGATCACATGGAGGGTTAGCAACAGGGGAGTGGGAGAGGGAGAAGGAGAAGGAGAAAGAGGGAGAAGGTACAGAAAATAAGTAGCAGAGACGGTAGGTAGAAAATAGGGGGAGGGCAAGAATAGTATGGGAAATATGGAATCTAAAGAACTTGAGACATGTGGTCATAAATTAAAGAGGGGGAATGGTAGAGGAGGGGGTGTGCAGGGTGGAGGGGAATGAAGGGGGGAACAGAACAACTGTAATGGCATAATCAATTATATATATATATATATATATATATATATATATATATTTTTTTTTAAATAGGTTAAGATCAGAACAGGGACTTGAATAGTCATTCCTCTAAAAAAGATTCACACATGGTCAAAAAGCACAGGAAAAGGTGCTCCACATCACTAATCACTAGGGAAATGCAAATCAAAACCATGAAATACCATCACACCCTTCAGGATGGCTATCAGAACAACAGAAAGGGGGGTGGGGTATGACACCCAGAGGTTGGCAAATACCTAAGTGCCACCAGGTACCCACAGTGGCTTCAGTGGCTCATGCAGAGGCCTGGCTGTGGTGTTGGCAGGAAGGCCTCCCTGATGTCAGCTGGGGCTCTGTGGAACAGGAGCAGAATGGAGGTTGGGCCCAGGACCATGGGCCGGGTAGTAGGCTGATGGTCAGCTTGCCCACTCAGAATGGATGTGGCAGTGGTGGAGATGGATGTCCTAGAGCAGCAATTTTCAACCACTGTGCTGCAGCACACTGGTGTGCTACCAAGTATTAATACATGACCCCTGGCTAGACAGCTCAGTTAGTTAGAGCATCGTCCTGAGACACCAAGGTTGCGGGTTCTATCCTTGGTCAGGATATATACAAGTACCAACCAATGAATGCATCAATAAGTGAAACAACATATTGATGTTTCTCTCTCTCAAATCAATGAATAAAAACTAAAATGATCTGCATCACATTCCTACAGATCATGGTCCGTTAACCTATAACTGCTTCTGGAATGTTCTGAGATACACATAGAAGCTTCATCTTCCAAAGTGCTTAGGCTTCTGCTACTGCAAAGAACATTATTAAAAGAAAGAAAAAAGACCCTGGCTGGTGTGGCTCAGTAGATTTAGTGCCGACCTGGGAACCAAAGGGTCACTGGTTCGACTCTCAGTCTAGGGCACATGCCTGGGCTGTAGGCCAGGCCCCCAGTAGGGGGCACATGAGAGGCTCCCACACACTGATGTTTCTCTCCCTCTTCTCCTCTCTAAAAATATATAAAATCTTTTTAAAAAGAATTAAAATATGTAATACTTGAGTATTTAGTCAGCGGTATTGACCTCTTTTCCCTTAGATTGTCAAATAAAAAGAGGAAATAAAAATAAAAAAAATTTAAAGTAAAAAAAAAGAAAGTATTTTAAACAGGTGCTACTCTTATGTAAACAAAGGCAAGGTAATAATAAAAAAATGTTTAAAAATGACAACAGCCAACAATGGACATCAGCTGTGAGTGAATCAAAATTATACCTATATTTTTGTCAGATCAGCAAAATATATATTTTTTGGTGTGCTGCAGAATTTTAGTATGTTATGTCTGCCATCAGATGAAAAAGGTTGAAAATTGCTACCCTAGAGGAACAGAGTTTCATGCTATTTTCCTCTTCTGCCTCTCATGCAGAATTTAGTGCTGTGCTGGAATAATTAGAGAACATTATCATGGATGACAACTTCAGTTATTATGGAGAAATTTCATGGACAACTACTACCAGGAGTTTGAAGACAGAAGAGCATAAACTCACCTACACACCTATTTTGAACAAATCTATTTCTTTAGTAGAAAAGTATATTGAAGAACAGCCACTTCAGGAGTGGATTCCTGGATTTAACATGGCAGCCTACACAACAACTTAGCACCATAAAGATAAAGTGGCTGGTGACATATTCAACATGCTGATCACATTTACCAATTTTCTGGCTTTTAAAGAAATGTTTCTGGACTTAAGCAGTGGCTTATTGGTAACTTCATTGGCAAATCATCTTCTAGGCCAGCTCCCCAGAAGAACCTGCAGCACTAGGTCACACCTCCAGAAAACAACATTGTTCTGGACATTAGTAGCACAGTGTACTACTGGTAGAGGCTGTTCTGTAACTCTTCGCTAATGTCAAGTATTGATGAATCAGAAAATATTACCTGACCCTCCTGGCATCCATTTCTTCAGAAAACCTTGTGTTTAGTAACCCTAGTACTCCTCTCTAAATGGACATCTCTCTCAGGGGCTTGAATCAGGCTCCTCTGGAACAAGTCCATATCCAGCATTCCACCTGCAGGGACTTCCCCAGTGTACATGTTGGTGTGTCAGCACGAAAGTTTTAGTCCTTCAGCCTCAGTGAAGTTTTTACTGTTTGGGAGCATTTATCTAAAGTGTTGCTCAAGCCAGCTGCCTATCTTCAACTTTCTGGAGCTCCTACTGTTACAGCAAGTCTTGGCTGCAGGGATTAACTGAGAGATGTCCTTTACCTAAAAGCTACATGTTAAAGTCAATCACTAGTCTTACATTTGTAGTCCTTGTATCACTATGTCTTCTCCTGGTCCTGATGTAATACCACTGTTTCTAGAACTCTCTTTTAAGCATTTTTCAAAAAATATTTTTACAGATGAATATTCAGGCTAACTTGGAACTTTATGATGACCCACATGAAGATCAAAGTATTATACACTGTGTGCTTTTTAGTTGTTAGTGCTATGAAAGTGAAAATGCTTTTTGTGTCGGCAGTCCTGTTTTACTGGGCACCACTGAATGTGTGCTTATGCTGGAAGTAGACTAAACATATCCTTTTCTCCTTTTCTTATAGCATGTTAAATGTGAAGGTTTGCTTAGACTTTTTCGCTCAGTTCGTTAGGTTTATATTAGGGTAGAGGGTCTGCAATTACTTCTTCCTGTCAAAGTCTTCTTATTAAAACAATGTTCTACTAGTTTAGCTCAGCAGTAACTCTAGCCCTACTAGAATAGGGGAGGGCTTTACTGCTCATCTGTGTGCTTTGATTTAGTACACTGACTTAGCACAATGTTTGATAGGATATCACTGACCAGAAAACACGGATCTCACATCTCTAGAAAGAAAAAACACAGTTCAGTTCTTAAAGTTTATCTTAGATTTTTTTTAAGTAAAAATAAGAATCTGTATAGACTTTTCACTTGGGTGTTCTGGTTTTAAAGGATGGGCTATAGGGTATGTGTTTTCTGTACTGATGTGGCATTTATTGTACATAATACTTTTAATCAAAGTATTTTGTACCATATTTAAAATTTGAGGTATTTTGCAAGAACCATGGTTCTAAAAAAACTAACAAACAAACAAAAAAGAAACCCAGAAAATAACAAGTGTTGGTGAGGATGTGAGGAATTGGAGCCCTATAGATTGGTGGGAATGTAAAATGATGTAGCCACTTTGGAAAACGGTCTAGTGGCTCCTTGTAAAATTCAGTATAGAAATACCACATGATCCAGCAATCCCACTTCTCGGTATACACTCAAAAGAATTTACAGCAGGATCTTTAAGAGATGTGTATATATCCACGTTCATAGCAGCATTATTCATAATAGCCAAAAGGTGGAAGCAACTCAAGTGTCCAGCAATAGATGAAGGAATAAACAAAATGTGGTCCATCCACACAATGGAATATTGTTCAGCTTTAAAAAGAAAGAAAATTCTAACACACACTACAACATGGATAAACTTGACAATATGCTCTGTGAATAAAGCCAGACACAAAAGGACAAACACTGTAAAATTCCACTTACATGAAGTTCCAAAAGTAGTCAGACTCATAGAGACAGAAAGTAGAATAGTGAGTGCCAATGGCTGGGGGAGGTGGGAATGGGGAGTCAGTGTTTAAGGCGGGCAGAGTTTCAGCTTGGGAAGATGAGGAAGTTCTGGACATGGATGGTGGTAATGGTACACAATGATGTAAATGCACTTACTGCCACCAAACTATGTACTTGAAATGATTAAGATAGAGTTTATGTTGTACATACTTTACTACAAAAACAAAAACAAATGTTGCAACATTTTAGCAGGAACTATACAAGAAACTTGAAAAGTATATATTGTGTTATGTCATTGAGAACACATAACTGAAGTTATACTTACTCTATATTCAGTCTGCTAAAAGAGGAAAAGAAAATGAGCAACATTTGCACACTGGTATCCACCAAATTTATGGGAACTCCCTTCTTGTCCTGGATCTTATCATAATGCCAAGCCTCTGAATCAACTGGCTAAGGGGGTTGTCTTCACAGTTCCTAGCGGCTGCCTGTGACCCTAAACCCCCACAGGTGGGCTTAGCAGAGGACAGTTGCTAGTGTGGAGGTGGCAGAGCCAGCTGTGTCCCACCTGTGACAACTCAACATGGTGACAGGGCTTTGTCCACCAACCACGGGGCTATTCTCTCTGTGAATGACAGGTTTTATCCTGAAGCTTCCCACATATAAAATTCACTTTCTAATCAGAGAGTTTCAAGGTTTCATCTTGCTTTTCCTTCTACAAGCCTGTATGTAATACTCCATAATTCCAGCAGATTCATTTCAAAAGGCATCACAAAGGTGACTTTTTTCGTGTATCAGAACCATGGCACACAAACAAAGCTCAATGGTGCCATGGTATAAGAAGGGTTTGGTTCAGCTGCGAGGTAAGAACAAGGGCTGAGAGATGTGAAGCCCAATGTGTATGGCACCACCCCCCAGGGAAGAGTGAGAAAGAGGCTGGTAGGATGTAAAGGACAGAGACTTTCAGATTTTACTTGAGTATTGCTTCACTGTTTTATGCCAAGAATATATTCACATTCTTCTTTTGTAATGAAGAATAAAATTTTCAAAATGAAATTAAGAATAAAAGAGCAAAGGCTGTAAACAAACAAGAATCTCCTCCACTGCTGGTAAAAGACCTCCTAGCCATTCTCTGAGCTTGGCTTCTCTGGGAGAAGGACCTGGGTCTGGGTCCCAGCTCTGCCCCTCATTGACTGCGACCATAGGTGAGTCATTTATTCTTGGGAAGCCTCAGATTCCTAATTAGCAAAATGGGCTAATCACAGACTGTGATAACACATTTTAAGCATTTAGCACAACGATGAGCACCTCACAAGTACTCAACGACTGCTAGAGACCATTGTTACTAAGATCCTTCATCTATAAAGGGCATCTACAAATCAGTAAGAAAAAAAGATAAACCACTCAAAAGAAAAATTACCAGAAGACAAGCTTCTTTTAAAATACATTCATCCTTGCCTGGCCAGTGTGTGGCTCAGTTGTTTGGAGCATCATCCCACAACCGAAAGGTTGTGGGTTTGATTACTGCCAGGGCATATACCTAAGCTCCAGGTTCAATCTTCTGAGTGGGTGGGTATGATCCCCAGCCTGGGATCGTACAGGAGGCAATCAACCGATGTTTCTCTCTTTCCCTTCCTCTCTCACTTTCTCTCTTTCTAAAAAAAGCAATTTAAAAAATTTCCTAAGCTAAGGATAAAAAATAAAATAAAATACTTTCATCCTTACTAGTGAAGAAAGTCAAAAGAAAACAATAGGATGATTTTCACAAAACCTCTGTAAGGCAGGAGATGGTGAGTACTCTGAGGACAGGGAGAAGTAAGCATCTTGCCTTAGTCAGAGCTGGGATCATGCTCAGGACTGTCTCCTCCAACTTCTTTTATCACTACACTTCCTTGCTGCCAGGAGAGTCATTTTATTCTCTTTGGATCTCAATTTCCCCACCTATAAAATGGGGATAATAACCCTAACCTTGCAGGTGTCTTTGGGAGAAAAACTGAGAAATAGCACAAGGAAAGCACCTTGCACAGAACTGAGTCCACTTTTGGTGGAAACTTCTGCTGTTTTATAATAGCTTACCACTGTTCAATGGATAACCTTAGGGAAAAGACTTAACCTCTGTGAGCTATACCTTCATTGTTTGGATCTCTGGAGGGTGAGGGCAGGCTCTGAGCCTTCATTTCTCTATCAGTAATTCCGGGACAACAGCACCTACTCTACAGGCCAGTTTAAGGAATAAGGGGACAGGCTATAATGTGCTGGTAGATAGTCACTACTCAATAGGTGACAACTTCACTATGATCTCACTCTCTCTGAGCAAACTTGGTGGTTGGAAAGCCAGAGAGAGGATCCTGCATGGTGCTGTCCACCCTCAAGAGACCTCAGACATGGATACAGGGAGCCCTGGCTGCAAAGCAACTCAGGCCCACCTTCACACACTGGGCAGGCTCTGACCTTCAGAACCTACACCTGCCATCTGGGAACCAGGGAAAAGGTGCCCCTGACAGACCCTTACAAGGTGACATGTATAGGACCACACATGTAAGGTCAGCCCTGCCCCCTCCTACCTGCAGGATATCATGTGTGAGCTCCTGAGGTCCATCTTCAGAGACTTTGGGTGCCATCTTTATAATGTTGCTCAGTTCAACCCCTGCAGGAGAGTGGAGGAGTTAGAAAGCACAAGTGATAACCATCATCCCTGTGGGCCCGCCAGGGTCACACCTCATGTCCCTTACGCTGGTTCCACTCATTCAGGACTTCTGGGATCTGCCCAGGTCCCCACTCTTCCCCCTCCCCACCCAGGCCAAACTTAGCAGCCAGGTCCACATGGAGGTGTGGAATGAAGAGGCAGTATTTGCTCCTCAGCCCTGTCCAGCTGATGGGAGCAGAGCAGTACTGAGGTTGCATGCCATCGCTGCAGTAAGAGGCACATTCTGCCTGGTGGGCTGAGAGGGGAGGGAATCCCACAGCTTTCTCCCTTGGGGCTCCTTTTACTCCTCACCCTGCCTGTATCCCTTCCCTCACTGGCACTTCCAAAGGAAGCCCTCACCATGCAGGACACTTCTTGGTGCCTCTCTAGTGCCTGTCCAGTGTCCATATCCCACTCTGTACCTGAGACACTAGCCCCTGACCTCTGAGGCTAAACCCCTGGGCTCCCTCACCTTCTGGCATCTGATTGAGTTTGGCCAGTGGGAAGCTAGACTCTTTTTTTTTCCCAAATATTTTATTTATTTATTTTTAGAGAGAGGGGAAGGGAAGGAGAAAGAGGGGGAGAGAAATATCAATGTGTGGTTGCCTCTAACATGTCCCCTACTGGGGACCTGGCCTGCAACCCAGGCATGTGCCCTGACTGGGAATCGAACTGGCAACCCTTTGCTTCACAGGCCCGTGCTCAATCCACTTGAGCTACACCAGCCAGGGCAGAAGCTAGACTCTTGATCTGGAGTGGAAGGGCGGGTATTCATGCCCAACTCCCTGACTCTGCCTTTGTCAGATGATCCTCGTTCCCTCCTGTGGCAGGTCCTGGGGTGGGAGAGGTCCCTTCTGTTGCCGGCAGGTCTCCTAACCCTGCCCACACCACTACAAACAATCCCTTTTTAACCAGTCCCCTCCATGACCTGGAGAGACACCCACTTATGACTTCTTAAGCTCAAGCCAGGGTATGGGTGGGGCAGGGAGGCAGGCGGTCCTGTTTCTTGGGATGTTTAGCAAGAAAGCACTATCACATGTTAGGAGTGGTGGACTGGAGGGTACAATTGGGCAAAGACCTGGACCAGCCCTGGGATGGAGCCATACCACCCTACCTTGTGATTCAAACTGTTCCACAGCCTCTTTCACTGCCTCCTCTGGCCCCATCTCAAATTCCTCAATGTTCTCACGAACAGCTGCATCAAAGGTCTCCTGGGTAATGCGCTTGGAGGCCATCTTCATCCCTTCCTCGTGGGGCTGTAGGCACCCAACAGATGCTCCTGAGCTGAGAAGTTAAGGGGAGAAGAAAGCTTCATTAAGAGCAAGAGGGCAACTGGAAGCCGGGACACCACTTAAGGAGCACCTACGGGGTCTGGGGCCGTATGAACACCCTAGAAAAATTTTTACAACCTGGATCACAGAATAGGATGATATCCCAACAGCCATACAGCTTCTAAAGTGCAGAATAAAATAGTTTACTACATTTTCTAAGAAAAGAGGATGTTAATATAGTATATATCCTCATAATAATAAATAAGGATAAAATTGCTTAATAATATGTTAAAGAATTAAAACATACATAATACATAATACAAACATAATACGTAAATAATAAAGTAGTATTGTTATATGTAATTATATTAAAATGCCATATATTATGGTTACGATATCACATTATATATTATTACAGCTATATATTATTTTACTACAGTTATGTCTATATAATCATAATAAGGCAATGTCATGTTATAATAGTATACTGTTATACTAATAAAATTTTTTTTCTAATATTTTGGGTATTTATTTTAGACAGAGAGGAAGGGAAGGAGGAAAAAAAAGAAGAGAAACACTGATCAGTTGCATCTCACGCATACCCCGAATGGAGGACCTGGCCTGCAACTCAGGAGGCTTGTGCCCTGACCAGGAATCAAACTGGCAACCTTTCAGTTTACAGTTTGACACCCAACCTACTAAGCCACACAAGTCAGGGCTTACTAATAAAAAATTAAAATAAAAATTTATAAAATAGACTAAAAAAAAGGCTAAATCAAAAACTAATAAAAATAAAGCCCTGGCTGGTGTAGCTCAGTGGATTGAGCACGGGCCTGTGAACCAAAAGATCACGGTTCAATTCCCTGTCAGGGCACATGCCTAGGTTGCAGGCCAGTTCCCGGCAGGGGATGCACCAGAAGCAACTATACATTGACATTTCTCTCCTTCTCTCCTTCCCTTCCCTTCTAAAATTAAATTGAAAAAAAATTTTTAAAGGCATTTTCATTAAAAAAAAACTAATAAAAATAGTTACTTTAAGGGGAGATAGAGAAAAGAATGCTGAGGACAGGACTAGAAGCTGGATTGTTCTCTGAACTTACCTTGTTCTTTTGAACTTACTCTTACCTTATGGGTTTGACTTTGGAACACATGCAAATGCTTGATGTGGTTAGTAAAAGAAAAAAACAATATAAACCAAAATAAAAAAAGGAATCCTTAAAAAGCAAGAGTAAGATGAAGCCCACAAATCTAAGAGTATATCTGCCCTGATCAGACCACTTATTGTGATTTTAAAATGCAGCAATGACTGTACATTCTTACTAAGATATATGCTAGGGACAGTATAAAATTCAAAAGAAAATCTTCAATAGTTTTTAGTAATCATGTTATTGAAATTATTATTGTTATCCCGAAGCTATTATATATGTAGCAAATAAGTAATACTGTCCATGTCTGTTGGGAACTGCCCTGCCTGGTTCCAGGAGCTGTATCTCCCCATGGCTAAGTGAGCAGCCTTGGGACCATAAACTACTAAGGAAACAAAGTTTATCTCCCTGGCAGGGGCACCGCCTCTGCTTTTACTTCACCCTGCCTGGCCACCAGTGCTTGATCAGTTAGCCAATGATGGGTAAGATTCCTCAAGGAAGGGACGACCTAAGACAGGCACAATCATGGGGCCCTCCAAGGAAGGACTTGGGGGGCTATAGAAAAAGGGGTGATGGACCACCACCCCTTGGCTTTGACATAGCCTGAGTCCTCATTCTGTCTGCAAGAAGTCTCCTAATCTCTTGGCTGCCTTACTTCCCCTGCCTGACTTAAGCCTGAAACAATGCTGGCAGTGGCTGCCACCCTGTGCTGGAAAGGGCAGGTTCCCTAGGGTGATTAAACCTAAGAAAGAATATGTAAAATCCTGTGAAACCTGCTTTGCTAATACCCTCAATTTAAATAATAAGAGACCAAGCAAGAAGTGAGGTTGTTCCCCAAAGTTTTACGGCCCTTTAACTATCTGACCCCAACTCAGAATAAGCTCTGAGTTCTCTGAATGTTATCTATTGTTTAATAATTTCTGCCTGACAATGATTGATGAGCTTTATTCCTGTGCAAACTGAACCCAATAGAAGCTTGTCAAGGCAAGGGTTGGGGTGCTCTCCCCTTGAGAGTGGCTGCACTGTCCATTTTCCTCTTCGGGACTTGGTAGTCCATTTGAATTTGTCTTATATCTCATCTACAATGTCGTGGACCCCACAAGCCGGGCCACATCAAATGTCTTTAGGTACCAGCATAAAAGAAGAAAGATTCTAAAATAAGAAAATCAAAAAAGTAGAAACTCAGAATTCCTAAATTTGAACTGGAAGTATCAATACAAATTTATGATATATATTCTCTGAAGCAACCCCCCCATATTTATAGTTATATCAACTGAAAATACCTAGAGGAAATGACACCACAGCAGCAATGAGCACTTTAAACACCAACTGTGGTCTCTAACTACCATAACCAAGGCTCCTGGAGAATTGGCTGATTCCAGGTCTGGGCAGGAAATAGGCCAGATGAGCCAGGAGCATCTTGTGAGAGCAGAATGTAAGGAAGCTTCTAAAGACAACGAAGTCATGTCAAAGGACTTGGGCACCCAGTAGCTAAAGATGAGACATGTGAGCATTAAAAGAAAATCCAATAGATACCAAAATCAAAATCTGCACATTCATAATAGTATTAAAATAAACCTAACTCATTCTTCTGAAAACTGGCAAATAAAGAAATCAGCATTTGCCCTGGAAAGTGTGGTTCAGTTGGTTGGAGCATCATCTGGTAACCAAAAGGCTGCAGATTCAATTCCCTGCCAGGGCACATACCTAGGTCACAGATTCAATCCCCAGTCTGGGTATGTGTAGGAGGCAACCAATCAATGCTTCTCTCTTACATCGATGGGTTTTTTTCCCCTCTCTCCCTTCCTCTCTATTTAAAAGCAATGAAAAAATGTACTTGGGAAAAAAAAAAAAAAGAAAAATTCTGCTTCCCTCACACAAATGGGTGGATTCCAGATTATAAAAAAAAGGATATGGGTAAGTTCTGCTTTAAGGATAGATGAATTTCAGCTAATTGACCAAACCGGACAGATTTAGACAATGATTCCTACAGGCTGCAAAATTGAGGTATAAAATTGATGGGGAACCTGACATCATGTGGACAGTATCTGTGTTCACTGAATGATTTCATGTTATCAAAAGAAAAACTCTACACCACTGTTTTCTGGCCAGAACGAAATGCACCTGTGAAGTCATCTTGCCAAAACCTTGGACCTGAATCTAACCATGCATCCAGTGGAATTTTGTGCAATGACAAGGTGTTATTTATCTGTGCAGTCCATGTGAAGTTGAGCAACTGAAACATAGCAAGTGCAACTGAGGATCATGTACTATTACTTAATTGTAATTGACTTTAACGTAAATAGCTACAAATGATGCAGGAATACCATATTAATAGCCAGCTCTAGATCTGATGGTCCCTGATCAAATTCCTCAATTTTCTTAATATGGTCTTATAAAACAATTTTTTTTCCTGGTCCACACAACACAGAAAGTCTGTTAGGAGGACAAAGGCACAGAAGTACTAGGACAGAGGTACTGGATTGTGGCAAAAATCCAAGTGCAAATTTGGGCCCTGTGGGAAATGGGCCACTCTAGCACATGCTCCTCTTTGCAGAGGTGGCACAGGAATGTGACTATTCCATCTGTGTTTGCACACACTCCAGGAAAGAGGACAGGCTCTGGGGCTGGCAGGGGAAGCATGCAAATCCCAAGCCTTCCACTTAACCTCACCGTTCTTCAACTGCCTCATGGTTGACATGGGAATAAACACAGTAGAAATTCAACTAGTTAATTCCTAAAAAGCACTTAGAACAGGATTTGACATCGATTAGGGGCTTAATAAACATTACTTATTAGTTCATTTCATTTGTTCCTTTAGAAGTAAAATGTCCAATTTATTTGTGGAAGTGTGGCATAAGGGCACATCAAATGGCCTACTTGGCACCCTTGCAGACAACTGCCCACTACTTTCTGCCCCAGAAGAGTCTGTTAAGGAGTTGCTAAGGATTTTCAAAGTCAGAAGTAAAAGAAAACAATAAGGGTTTTCTGTTTTGAGATAGTTTCTCAGAAGAGTCCAGGATGGCGATGGTAGGGTGTTCAATGGCTTGCTCCATGAGACTGAAACTTCCAAGCTGGTGCCACCACTCCTTGCTCTGCCACCTGACATTGCTTCCACCACACTGGCCATGCTTCAGGTCTGAGTGGGCCAACAGTGAGAGTTCACTGTCACAGAGCAGTCTTAAAAGGGAATGCATACCTTACAGATGAAGAATCTGAAGACCAGAGAGGAAAGAACCCACTAGAGGCCATACAAGTAGTAAGAGGCCTGGCCATTGTACTATCCTGCCTCATTAACACCTTTCCTCCACTTGGGTCCTCTGAGGAACTTCTAATATAGGAGAGGGGCGTGAGAATTAGATAAATTAACTAAAGTTAAACAAAGGTAAGTCAGGGGCCTGCTATGTGCTGCCTCACTACATGCTGCCTGACACAGAACTCAGCTGCTTGGAGATGCAAACAGACCACATGGAGACTCTGGAACAAAGAAGATTCCTGCAAAGAGTGACTAATACCTACTCACCCAAACCTTATCATTTTCCCATACCATAAAAGAAAAACAGTCCACAAAATATACCTTGTTAGGGTTAAAGTTAATCCCAACATTTTTTCCCATGCTCTATTTTCCCCATACCAGTTATTTTCCATGGAAACTATAAATAGATACAAGCTTAACTTCTGGAAGGAGTTGGGGTCTCTCTTTTCTTGCAAGGGAAGTCTACCACTCTGTCTGTGGAGTGGCTTGTCTTGCTTATGCTCTCTGCTCAGTAAACTTGCTTCCACTTTGACCCCCTGCCTGGTTCACATTCTGAATTCTTTCCTGTGAGAAGCCAAGAACCTCTTGGCTCAGATCTCCCTTGGAGACTCACCCCTCCAGCATCTGTTACCAGGGAGGCCCAAGTTAAAGGGCTCCCACTCCTTTGTTCTTGTCTCGATCACAAGAGATGAATTCAGGCAAGAGACAATGCATAGTAGAAATGACATAGCAAGTTTATTTATGAAAGACACTTGAGTACAAAGCTGCAAATGGGCACCCAGCTCATCTGAGTGTACCACCCACTGGGGTATTATGCTTGTAGCCAGTTTCCCCTCCTCCTCCCTTCTCCAGATCTTGGAATTAAGTTTCAAAAGCTTCCTTCCCCAGACAGTAGAAAGGACACACAAAGAATTTAAAAGGCTCCCCTCCCATGCTATCATGGTCTGTCTTGTGATCTTCGGAACAGCTGGCAATCTTATCTTACTGAGCTCAGGACTGCTGAATTAATGAGTGAGACAGGTCTCCCTTCCCCTTCCTGCCGTGGTTTGCTATATATTCTGCTTAACATCTCTACCAGCTCTTCCAGGCCACCTACCTCTGGGAGCCTTCCCTAGCCACTTAGATAGAGCCTGTGCACTCTGCCTTGCTCTGTACTCCATCCACCCCACCCTAAGAACCTCCCTGTGCCCAGCCCTGAGCTCCCTGAGCTGGGGAGATCAGTGTCTGGCTCTGGGACCACCCCTGAAGTCCTTCAGGATCTCCTTGGTCTGGCACTGGGTGGGAAACAAAAGTATCCATCTGATACTTTTGAGTATCCACCTGAGAAGAGCCCAGGCCAGGAGATGGGGAAAACTACTGGCCTCCACAATGGGTTCAAGGTGTTAGGGGGAAAGAAGGGGATTAGCAAGGCCCCCAAACTGACATCCAAAGTTCTGCTATCAAGAAAATGGTACATTGTGTTCTGGCTGCTGTAGCTCAGTGGATTGAGGATGGGACTGCAAATGAAAGGGATCACAGGTTTGCTTCCCAGTCAGGGCACATGCCTGGGTCTCAGGTCAGGTCCCCAGTAGGGAGCACTGGAAAGACAACCACATATTGATGTTTCTCTCCCTCTCTTTCTCCTTCCCTTCCCCTCTCTCTAAAAATAAGTAAAATCTTTAAAGAAAAAATGGTGCATGGAAACACCAGGGACTATGAATGACTCCTCATCTTTCTCCACCTGCCACTCTGGTTCGGGCGCCAGCTCCTCTCTGCCACACCCTAAGCGTCTATTCTCCACAAAGACCATGTTACTCACCTGCTCAAAATCCTGCAGTGGTATCCAACCCTCTCAGAACAAAACCTACTCTCCTAACCAGCTCAACCTTCTCACCTGTGCTCCCCTACTATTTCTCGACCTTCCCAGCTAGCAAGAGACAGCTTTCATAATCATTGTGGTTAAAGCAGCTCCTGTCTCCTCTGGCATCTCTTTTGCTATTTGGATACTCTCTCTCCTATAGCTACATGGTTCATTTCTTTGCTTGTATTGTCTAACCTCTTCCCTAATAAAATTTAATCTCCATGACAACTGAGCCCAGGCCATTTTATTCTCCACCTTCTCCTCATTACCTAGGACGGGACCGGGCACACAGCAGGCACTCACTACAAAGGCGATGAATGAATAACTGAATGAAAACACGCGAGGGCCAGGAAAATGGCGGGGGGGGGGGATTGTTCCCGGGCGGCTTTTGTAATAGTGTTTCATTCCCCAAAACCAAGTCCTCGAGGGCTGCCCACAGTCACCAGCCCGACCCTGCAGCGCCCGCTCCCCGTCCTGCGCGCGAGGGGTTTCTGCGGCTGCACCCTCTCACCCGGTATTCGCGGCCACGTGAGAAAAGGTAAGGCTGTCGTCCGTCACCCGCGGCACCGCCTCTGGCCCCTTCCGGCTGCCGTACATGCGCAGGCGCGCTGGAGCCCCCTCGCTTCGGCGTTCCTTAGCCAGGCGAGTCGCTCACTGAGTGACCAAGGGCGATTGCGAGCGCAGGTAAAGTCGAAAAGACAAACAGGTGCGAGGCGGCGGCGCCTCTACTGCCTTTTTCGGGCTGCTGTTATCGCCGCCCACGGAAAGGAAATTTTTCGCTTTAGGAGAGTCTGCCCGAAGAAGTGGGCAGCGCGCCTGTGCGAGAGGGCGCGGTGGCTGCCGCCTGCGCTTGCGCACCTGGGCGCGGCGTCAACCTGCGGCTGCGCGGCACGGCTATGCAGAGACCGTTGGTTCATTTGCATGTCCCCGCCTCCCGCGGCGGCGGCGAAGGCGGTGGCTGAGGGGTCTAAAGCGTCGGCGGGGGTGGCTCCGCGCGCGGTGGGCTTGGGGTGAGGCCCGGATCGGGCACCGTCGGTGGGTGGGCTCAGGGGTAAGGGGCTAGGATTCGGCCCTTGGGGTCCAAAGGGTCCCGCGATTGCTCTGTGGACTTGGACCTTGGAGCTGCACGGCTGCCGCGTCCTCGACGTTTCGGCCTGAGGGGGCGGTCTGCGGCCTCCCAGACCCGATGCCCCCTTTTCTTCGTCCTCGGAGGCTGGGAGCAGGCGGACCACAACCTGAGGGATTCATTCGTTCCTTCGCTCATTCATTCCACCCGAGCCCGGATCGGCCATTCTTGTGAGACGATCAGGGGGGCCGAGAGCAGTATCCGGCCCTTTGCCATTTTTAATGGGTTCAATCCCTACAGAGCCCCCACCATTGCTGCCCATTCCATAGATGGCAGAAAGGTTAGGTCGCTTGAATTTGGTCCCGGGCTCTCTCTCTGCCCCGAAGACCCTTCCCTTCGCCAGTAGAGAACAAGGGGCCCCCTAGGAAAAGGGCTGAAGGATGGAAAAGGAGGTGATGGTTCTAAGGAAGATTAAGGCAGGCGCAGGCTTGGGTCTTGGGTTGTAGGTTTCAAGTTGGAAGAAATATGGTTAAGAACGGGCTGCCACAGGATTCCCCAGCGTTCCTTCTTTCTCAATCTTTTTCTATTTAATCTTCAGGTTTTGTCCCCAGGTTCCAGTCTTGGCTGGCTGACCTTGGGTGAGTTGCTTAGCCCGAGGCTCCCATTTCTTCTTCTTTTTAATATTATTCATAACAGGACCCACTTTTCACGGGGTTGTTTCAAGTAAACGAATTCTTCCCTACAACTGTCACTAGTTCATTGTTCCTAGTCAGGGATCCCTCCAAGAGGCTTCTCCCTGAGGGGAAGGCGGTTCTTAGAGCCCCTTGGCCATTTTTTGAGAAATGGGAACAATCACATCTTTCCTAACCACCATGTGAGAGGGTTGTGCTCTCATTCACCTACACTTTTATGTTAAGTTATGTGTGTTGCTTCTTACAGTCCTCCAACAACCCCCGGAGTTAAGGGCTTCTTTTGTAGAGCTTTCAAAGGATTCTGAGGAAACGCTCAGAGAAGCAAAATAATAGGTCCAAGATCACCATGCTTGTCTTGTTCCTTCTCAGCAAATACACGCCTGTGAACTTTGTGAGGGCAGATGCCCCTTAAAATAATCCGACCATTTTCTGAAGTACCGAGCTGGATTACGGATTACTGCCTCGTTACTTTGAGGATTAGGTGAAATAGAGAGCTGGCTCTCTGAGCATTGGTTGTCATTCTTAGTCTTTTTTTCCCTATCTGACTACAGGTCAGAGAAACATGGCAGCAAGACGAATTGCCCAGGAGACTTTTGACGCTGTATTACAAGAAAAAGCTAACCGATATCACATGGACCCCAGTGGTGAAGCTGTAGGTGAAGCTCTGCAATTTAAAGCTCAAGGTAAATTAAAGTGCTTGATTGGGCTTGGGGGAGGGACCAGGGAATGGGGCATTTAGGGTCAGAGCCCGAAGATTTAAGTCCCTTGGGCAAACTAAACTAAGTTCTCTGATCCTTCATTCCTTATTTGTTAAGGGAGGATGAAATTCTCTGTGATTCTGCATGTTAAATCACTATGTAGAAGGTGTTGACATTCCTTGGAGCTTCTCCTCCCAGAAAACCTCCCCCATTTAAAGAAGGTTTTATTATTATTATTATTATCATCATCATCGTCATCATTATTCTATTATAATTGTCCCGGTTTTTACCCCTTTGTCCTCCTCTGCCCAGCCCACCTCTCCTCCCACAGTCAGTCCACACACCGTTGTCCATGTCCCACCACTGCTCAGATTTGAACTCTTATCAGTGCTGGCCTGTGTTATTTCAGTAATCTCCTCCTGAATGGTCTCTCAGCTTCTGACATCATTCCCCTCAAATCCTCCCTGACTATTGGGTTGGCCAAAAAATTCATATGGTTTTTCTATAAAATACAAGACATTTTTTTTTCATTTTCATCAATAACTTTATTTATTTGGATATTTTGAGTATATTGGCTATCTCCTATGTGTTACAAGGTTGATTGTTCTCAAGGTCTCCATTCAATTACTATCGACTTCAGTTGGTCTGCTTTACCTCGGAGCATTGTCCATCGAGAAATCTCCAGCATGAAACTTCACAAACCACTTTAAAAAAATTACTTAGTTTTAGAGAGAGGGGAATGGAAGGAAAAAGAGAGGATGAGAAACATCCATGTGTGAGAGAAACATGGATTGATTAGTTGCCTCTTGTGCGCCCCAACTGGGGACCTGGCCTGCAACACAGGCATGTGCCCTGACTGGGAATTAAACCAGCAACTTTTTTGTTCACAGGCTGACACTCAGTCCACTGAGCCATATCAGCCAGGGCACAAACTACTCCTGACATGTTTTATCAGTCAGTCACAGCACCTTCTCTATATACTGCACAAATCTTTTTTTGCACTTCAGTTGCATTTTCACCTTTCTTGAAATAATAGAGCATAGTATGCTGAAAATCTTATATATTTTCTTCCATCTTCAATATTAAAATGCCTACACAAAAATTTACCCATTTGATAACTTTCTTAAGAAAATACATGCTGAAATGACAGCTGTCACAATACAATCTGACAAAATTGTTCCAAATGATGTTAAAGACAACTAAGTGCTACTAGAGCTGTCTTACAGAAAAAAAAAAACAAAAAACTTTTTGGTCAATCCAATATTAATGACAATCTCACTGAGCCAAAACCCTGCTTTGGCTCTTGGAACTTCCCACTTCCAGGTTACACCCTCAGATAAGTGTGGGAGCAACAAGGTAACTGTGATGTGTGCAAGACTGGAGGGTGAGTTGACAGGCTATAGAGCTGCTAAGAGTAGACCCTGCCTGAAAATATTTCCCTTCGGAAAACTTCGAAATACCATGCCAACAGAATAAAAAATGGTGCCCACACAGTTACAGGATGAGATGGAGATTCCTTATTACCCCACACGAGGCTCCCAACCCTTACTCCTTGCCTTGGGCTTCCTGTTTCAATGATACTGTGCCACCTGTCTGTGTTTTGAATCCCTCCTCATCCCAGCTCTGCCTGGTTGATTCCCTTGGGCACTAAGACCTAGTTCACAGGTGACTTCACCCAGGAAGCCTTAGCAGGCCTTGAGATTGATTTAGTTGCCTTTCCTTACCCCAGGAAAGTAGACCGTGCACTCACTCCTCTGCTGTGGACTGGCCTCCTTCAGGCCTCATCCTGGGGCTGTGCTTTTTGCGGCTGCACCAGCCCCTGAGCCAGCCTTGGAAGGGTGGAAGAGGGTTTCTCAATATTGGATGTGTGTGTCTTAAGTGCTTGCTTTAGAGATAACTGTTGTTACATGCTTTGGACCTGGACAAACTAATTGATGAGTTTTCAAAAATTATATGAATAGTACATAGAAACATACCTATTATAAGATTAGAAGAATTAAGAAACAGTTAAGAGTAAAATGTAAAATCTTCTTAGCTGCTTCCTTAACCCCCACAGTTCAGTTCTTTTACCAGTATGTAATCCTCAGTACCTCAGTGTTTATGTATATACACACACACAAAGACACATGTCTGTATGTACACACACACATATGTGTGTATGTATGTTTATGTATATATGGAGACAAACATTGGTATCTTTTTTAAAAGATTTTATTTATCTTTAGAGGGGAAGGGAAGGAGAGAGGGAAAGAAATATCAATGTATAGTTGCCTCTCATGCATCCCCTGCTGAACCGTGATCCTTTGGTCCGCAGGCCCGAGCTCAATCCACTAAGCCACACCAGCCAGGGTACATTGGTATCTATATCTAGAGACTCAAACACCAATACATATCTTGTTACTTCAGGAACGTTTGGGGAGAAGTGAACTAGAAACCAAGCAGGATGTTAGATGGTTCTGGAACCATCTCTGTGTCCTAGAGCTACATGGTCCATTGCTTAGACTTTCTCTGAATCTGTGCCTTTTCTGATGCCTTGGCATCAGGAAATTCTATTGTGCAGAAATCAACCAGCAGTCTACCTCAAGTGCTGCCTCTCTCACCATGCCATTAATAGCCATCAATACCTAGATTAATCCAGTAGATTGTTATAACATCTACACTTACTCTTATCCCTCTTGGTCTGTTCCCTTCACAATAGCCAGTAAGGTCATCCCCCCTGCTCTGAGCTCTTCTGTAGCTTATCATCTTACTCAAAATACTCAAGCATCTCTTTGAGAGCCTGACGTGATCCTATAGATCCGTCTGCATCTCCCTAAATTTGCTGCACGTTAGTATTATCTGGAGACCTTTTAAAAACCCGATGCCCAGGTCACACCTCATGCTAATTAATTAAATCAGGATGCTTGGGGGTCCCCAAGGGACTCCAATATGCAGCAGAGTTTAGGAGCTGCCTTCTTACCACTTTGCCTTTTGTTCCCTCTGGCATATTCGTCCCTTGCTGCTCCCATCTCAGGGGTTTCTCCCCATGCTTCCTCTTCCTAAAAGGCTTCCCCCATAACTGCACAGTGTGTCCTCTCTTGCCAGGCCTCTACTTTTCAGTATATTGTCAGAGCTGCCCTCCCTGACCAGCTTCTCTAAAAATGCTTTCCTTTTCAAGTTTCCAGTTGTTTGGTGCTTCTTACTGGCACTTCCTTTCACCTGATGAAAACTTTTTTAATATATATATTTTATTTTATTGATTATGCCATTACATTTGTTCTATTTCCCCCTTTCATTCCCCTCCACCCTGTACACCCCTCTCCCACCACCCCCCCTTTAGTTCATGAACACGTGTCTCGAGTTCTTTAGATTCTATATTTCCCATACTAATCTTACCCTCCCCGCTGTCTATTTTCTATCTACTGTCTATGCTACTTATTTTCTGTACCTTCTCCTTCTCCCACTCCCCTGTTGCTAACCCTCCATGTGATCTTCATTTCTATGGTTCACTCCTGATATAGCTGTCCTTTTAGTTTGCTTTTGTTTTAGGTGTGGTTGTTAATAATTGTGAGTTTGCTGTCCTTTCACTGTTCATCTTTTTTATCTTCTTTTTCTTAGATAAGTCCCTTTAACATTTCATATAATAAGGGCTTGGTGATGATGAACTCCTTGAATTTGATCTTATCTGAGAAGCACTTTATCTGTCCTTCCATTCTAAATGAGAGCTTTGCTGGATAGAGCAATCTTGGATGTAGGCTTTTGGATTTCATGACTTGGAATACTTCTTTCCAGCCCCTTCTTGCCTGTAAGGTCTCTTTTGAGAAATCAGCTGACAGTCTGATGGGAACTCCTTTGTAGGTGACTGTCCCCTTATCTCTTGCTGCTTCTAGGATTCTCTCCTTCATTTTAATCTTGGCTAATGTAATTATGATGTGCCTTGGTGTATTCCTTCTTGGGTCCAACTTCTTTGGGACTCTCTGAGCTTCCTGGATTTCCTGGAAGTTTATTTCCTTTGCCAGAACTAAAGTTCTCCTTTATTATTTGTTCAAATAAAGTTTCCACTCGTGACTGTTCCTCTTCCCCTTCTGGTACTCCTATAATATAATTCGGATGTTGGAGCGTTTAAAGATGTCCTAGAGCCCTGGCTGGTGTAGCTCAGTGGATTGAGCGCAGGCCTGCGAACCAGACAATCGCGGTTGGATTCCCAGTCAGGGTACGTGCCTGGGTTGCAGGCCGGTTCCCTGCAGGCCAGTTCCCAGCAGGAGACACACGAAAGGCAACCATACATTGATGTTTCCCTCCCTCTGTCCTTCCCTTCCCCTCTAAAGATAAATAAATTAAATTAAAAAAAAAAAAGATGTCCTAGAGGTTCTTAAGCCTCTCCTCATTTTTTTGAATTCTTGTTTCTTCATATTTTTCTGTTTGGTCATTTTTTCCTTCCTTCTGATCTGCTCCCTTGATTTGAGTCCCAGTTTCCTTTCCATTACTATCGGTTTCCTGTGCATTTTCATTCATTTCAATTAGTTTAGCTTTCATATGTTCCTCTATAATTTGTGACTAAAATCAACCAGTTCTGTGGGCATCCTGATCACCAGTGTTTTGAACTGTGCATCTGAAAGTTTGGCTATTTCTTCATTGCTTAGATTTATTGTCTCTGGGGCTCTGAGTTGTTCTTGAGCCATGTTTTTATCTGTTTGTGCCTGTTACATACGAGGAGAGGCGCCTTAGGTGTTCATCAGGGCGGGGCCACCCAGGTCGCTGGTTTGTGATGCTGTATGTGGGGGCGGGGTCAGAGAGGGAGCAATGGCGGTCCTCTCCTCTCCCCGGTCTGCCTCACTGCTCGCCCCCGCCTGTTTATTTGAGCGCAAATGTACGAGCCTGCTGCCCTGCAGCGTGTGCGGTCTGTGTCAATGTTCGTCTCTTCACTGGTTTATCTACACGCAAATGCGTGACCGCAGACAGTCAGCTGCTCCGCGCCTTCCCTGGGTCCGCCTGTAGCTACCCCGCACCTGGGATCCGCTCCCTCGGCTGCCTCGTGCTGCCCGGGTCGGGGATCTTTTTTGCCCGACCCACTCTGCTGCTGGCTTTGCCCCTCTCACTGGTTTAGCTGAGCGATTCGTTGTTTTTGGACTCTGTATTGTTCGATTTTCTGTGGTTTGGTTGCGTTTATTATTGTTAAAACTTTGTTGTTTTTAGATTTGGTTGTGTGAGGAAGCAAAGTATTTCCACCTACGCCTCCATCTTGGCAGAAATCCTTCTCACCTGATGAATTTTTATTGATTGATTGTTGGCTCCCTCAAGTGACAAGTCCAGGAGAGCAGGGACTTGGCTGTCTCCTTTCCTTGCTGTAACTTCAGTGCCTAGAGCACACAGTAGGGGCTCAGTAAGTACTGTTGAGCAGAAAACTTGGATTTATATAAAATTTGGACTCCTTTGGCCTCACCCCATTACAACCTCATGGCATCTCTTGCTTCCTTTTCATTTGACTTTTTGACTAGGTGATAGATTCTGATTCAAAAGTTAGAAAGGCACTCTATGCAAAGTCTCCCTGAGGCTCTTAGTTACTTATGTTTATATGTTCTTACAGAGTTTGTTTGTACATGAATAAACAAATGCAGATATAAGGTCCTGTCTTCCTCATTTCTACACAGGAGAACAAAAGCACGCACTATTCAGTTTCCATTGTGGCCTCTTTTGATGGCTTATTTAGTTTCTGCCTTCTCTTATGTCTGCTTTATCATGTTTTTTTCAGGGGATTGGTTGGTCCAGTGGACCTTTACCAGAGAGTATATCAGCCAGCTTTGGGTCAGATGCTCAGCTGTGGACCCCCTCAGTTGTGGTGGGTACAGCATCAAATGCGGCTCCTGCCTCAGTGGTACTGTGGGCCAAGAGTTTCTACTAGGAGGCAAGGAGGGCAGGCAACCTTCAGAAAACCTGTGTGTTTTGTGCTAGAGGTAGAAATACATAAGTATTGCAGTCACAGTAGAGAAATCCAGGTTATTTGAGGACCAGACATTCTTCTCTGAATTTAAAAGAGGGCTTGTAAACTAGATGCTTGCTGAGCCAGGGCAGGAGATCTGAGTGAGGAAGAGGCACTGCTACTTAGCCTTGGTGCACTATCATTAGGGCAAGTGCAGGCCTACAGCTTGTAGTTTTTTTGTTTGCTTGTTTTTTGTTTTAATAAAAAGTAGTTTAAGGGAAGCCACACACATTTTAAATGTTGGTGACAAATAGGAATTTGTAAAATGCACTCAGGCAAATAAAGCACTCCAGCTGGCTGGTAGTCTGTGGACTGTTCATTTGCATCCTCTGGTCTAAAGTACCTTTGTTGTTTCCTTTTGGATTGTTTATTTCAGATCTTATAAGGACACTCCCAAGAGTCAGAGCAGATATGTATGATGACATTCACAGTGACAGCAGATACACTCTGGGAGGATCTGTAGCTCACTCTCGAGATGCCGGGAGAGAAAGCCTGAGAAGTGATGTGTTTCCAGGACCTTCCTTCAGATCAAGCAACCCTTCTGTAAGCGAAGACAACTACTATCGCAAAGAATGTGGCCGGGATCTGGAATTTTCCCACTCTGACTCCCGAGACCAGGTCTTTGGCCACCGGAAATTGGGATATTTCCGTTCTCCAGACTGGAAATTTACACTCCGTGGCTCTTGGGAACAAGACATTGGCCACCCAGTTTCTCAAGAATTGTCTTGGTCACAGGAGTATAATTTTGGTCCTTCTGCACTACTGGGAGACTTTGGGTCTTCCCGGCTTATTGAGAAAGAGTGTTTGGAGAAAGAGAGTCGAGATTATGATGTGGACCATCCAGGGGAGGCAGACTCTGTGCTCAGGGCCAGCAGTCAAGTTCAGGGCAGAGGCCGAGGTCTAAACATCATTGATCAGGAAGGTGCCCTCCTAGGAAAGGGGGAGTCTCAGGGTCTGCTCACACCTAAAGCGGGGCTCGGGAAACTTGTCACACTAAGAAATGTGAGCACAAAAAAAATACCCACTGTAAATCGTATTACACCCAAAACTCAGGGCACTAACCAAATCCAGAAAACCACCCCAAGTTCTGATGTGACCCTAGGGACAAACCCAGGAACAGAAGATATCCAATATCCCACTCAGAAGATCCCTCTGGGGCTCAATCTGAAAGATGTTCGGCTCCCAAGAAGAAAGATGAGCTTTGACCTCATAGATAAGTCTGATGTTTTTTCAAGATTTGGGATAGAAATAATCAAATGGGCAGGATTCCACACTATAAAAGATGATGTTAAATTTTCCCAGCTTTTCCAAACTCTCTTTGAACTTGAAACTGAAACCTGTGCTAAAATGCTTGCCTCATTTAAATGTTCCTTAAAACCAGAGCACAGAGATTTTTGCTTTTTTACTATCAAATTTTTAAAGCACTCTGCTTTGAAAACACCTAGAGTTGATAATGAGTTTTTAAACATGCTCTTAGACAAAGGTGCTGTGAAGACCAAAAATTGCTTTTTTGAAATCATAAAGCCCTTTGACAAGTACATAATGAGGCTTCAAGACCGACTTCTAAAGAGTGTCACGCCCCTGCTCATGGCCTGCAATGCCTATGAACTGAGTATCAAAATGAAGACCCTGAGTAACCCTCTGGACTTGGCTGTTGCCCTGGAGACCACCAATTCTCTGTGCCGGAAGTCTTTGGCTCTTTTGGGACAGACATTCTCCTTGGCCTCTTCTTTCCGGCAAGAGAAAATCTTAGAAGCCGTTGGCCTCCAGGATATAGCTCCCTCTCCTGCTGCATTTCCAAACTTTGAGGACTCCACTCTGTTTGGGAGAGAGTACATAGATCACCTGAAGGCCTGGCTGGTCAGCAGTGGGTGTCCACTTCAGGTCAAGAAAACTGAAACTGAGCCAACTCAAGATGAGAAAACCGTTTCTCCTACCCAACCTGAAATTCAGGCCAAGGCTCTGAGTGGTCTGAGTGATGGTAAGGAAAGCAGCAAAAGTTTCTATTTGTTGTGATTTCTTTTCATGTTTTTTTGTAATATCTCTTATTCTATTTGAGGTTTTCACAAGAAGTTCTTTAGCCAACTGGAGATAAATCAGAAATTTTAGTAGAAAACTCTCATTGGCCAGTACACATGTCTACCATTCGTACCATAAGCATGTATGAAGAATCTTCCATTTACCACAAAAGGCCTTAGACACTCCTTTGGATATCTGATGAAAAGCTGCAGCCCTTGACATGAAAAATGCACATATATTTTTCATAATTTTGCCTGCACGTTTGGGGGTTTGTACCATTCTGCAGCCAAGGTTAAGAAACCCTGCTCTGCCCCGGCTGATGTGGCTCAGTGGATTAAGCATGAGCCTGTGAATCAAGCCGGTTCAACTCACAGTTGGCACATGCCTGGGTTGTGGACCAGGTGCCTGATACATGGCATGTGAAAGGGAACCACGCATTGATGCTTCTCTCCCTCTCTTCTTCCCTTCCCCTCTCTAAAAATAAATAAATAAAATATTTTTTTTTAAAGAAGAAGAAGAAGAAGAAACCTTGCTCCAACGGGGTCCTGCCTTGGGTATTCCTAGAAGGAAAAGTAAATGCTGGTCACTGTCTCTGAGGAGACAGACACCAGGCTCCTAAGAGAAAGAAGTCACAAAACAATCCCCTCCTGTGCTGGGATTAAGGGGGACATAGGAAAGGTCCCAGCCTAGCCCAGCCTGGGGAATTTGGGAAGCCAAAGGGGTGCCATATTTGATCTGTATTGAGGGATGGACAGGGATCAGCCAGGTCAGTCCAGGTAACAGAGGCACCTGCTCACTTTTCTACAGTTAACAGGTGGCTTACAGGGGAGAGGACAGACCAGTAAGGAAGTAATAAACATGACTGACTGAGGTTCCTTATCCCTTGCCTTAGCTCCCAGGATGGCTGCTCTCAGCCCAAATATTCCAGAACTCATGCACATAGGTAATGGGCATATACTCTTCCCTCCTGATGTGGTTTTCTGCTTCCATTGCCTCAACCCAGTAAGGAAGTCTCATTTGTCCCTGAATCTCCTCACTTCTCTTAACACCCAGCAGTTTTGGAGCCCCAACTGCACAAGCACTGAGGGTCCCATCATATATGAATGTCCACAGTTACTCCCAGAGAGAAAGCCTTCCAAAAGACTCAGGGCCAAAGCGGGCCCTTTGCATACCCTCCAAAGTGGTAGAGTAGGAAGTCAGTGTAACCATACTGGAGGAAAAAGTCATCCATAACCTAAAGTTGCCCACCACTGCCCCCTTGTGGTGTTGATAGGCTAGCCTGTCAATGTAGTGCTGCTGTACTGAAAACATTACCATGTACTTCCTCTTCAATAGAATTGTTAAAAGTCCCTGTGTTTCTACAGCACTCATTGCATTATGATATTGGTCTAACATAAATTATCTCACTTTTCTCTTGGTGTTGGAATCACACTGCCTTTTACTACAGGCTTCTGAGGTGCAGAGCTACGTTCCCTTGTAAGTGTTATCTGCAAGCCTTGGTTATCTGGAAAGCAGGTGGACAGCACAGGCACTGTCCTGCCACTATTTTTTCCTCTTTTTAAAATGTTTACTGATTTTAGAGAGAGAGAGACACAGCAATTTGTTGTTCCACATATTGATGCATTCATTAGTTGCTTCTTGTATGTGCCCTGACTCAGGATCAAACCTACAACCTTAGTGTACTGGGAGAATGCTCTAACCAACTGAGCTACCTGGCCAGGATTGAACCATTGTTTTCATTATAGTATATTAGGAATGCTGGGATGACATCTTTGGTTGTTTGATTATTACTACTATTTTTAAATCCTTTAAAAGGATATATATAGTCTTAGGAGAAGGATTGCTGGGACCACTTTCTTTCACTATGGTCATCTTCTCTAGAGATGGTTGTGTTGACCCACAAATTGTGTTTGTTTCTGAAAGCTGCTGACTTTAGACCTCTTTTTTTTCCTCTAAAATTGGCAGTTCTGTAAAATGAGAGCCAATAACAAAAAGAAAAGAAAGTGGTCCTGGCTGATGTGGCTCAGAGGATTGGGTGCCAGCCTGCGAACCAAAGGGTCGCTGGTTTGATTCCCACTCATAGCACATGTGTGGGTTGCAGGCCAGGTCCCCAGTGGGGGGCACACGAGACAACCACACATTGATGTTTCTCTCCCAACCTTCTCCTCTCTCTAAAAATAAAATATTTTTTAAAAAAGAAAAAGTAATTTCAAAAGGAAAATACTTGCAATAACATGAGAATAGAAAGACTGACTTATCTTGTGTAGAGTTCTCACTGATACTTCAGATGAGCTCAAAGCTACAATTCAGACATAGGCAAGAAGAGAGCAGTACGGTACTACACAGAACAAACTGGAAAACCTCTCCATTTCAAGGATGATTTTTATTGAATAAGTAAACAAATAGACCATTCTGTGCTAGTAAAACTAGCAAATATAAAAAAACTAAACAGTCATTATTTCAGGACACACACATTCTGTGTTGCTGGCGGATTGTAAGTTACAGCCATATTGGAGGAAACTCACTTTAAAAAGTGGTTTCATACACACTGGCTGGTGTAGCTCAGGGAATTGAGTGCTGGCCTGTGAACCAGGGGGTCTCAGGATCTATTCCCAGGGCATATGCCTGGGTTGCAGGCCAGGTCTCCAATAGGGGGCATGTGAGAGGCAACCACACATTGGTGTTTCTCTTCTATCTCCCTCACTTCTCTCTAAAAATAAGTGAAATCTGTAAAAAAAAATGTTTTCATACGTTCAGCAGATAATTTATGTGAACACCTAGCTTGGGACCATTGACTTTTTCTTTGTTAAAGATTTTATTTATTTGGGCCTGTGAATCAAAGGATCGAGGTTCGATTCCTAGTCAGGGCACATGCCTGGGTTGCAGGCCAGTTCCCAGCAGGGGACACACAGGAGGCAACCATACATTGATATTTCTCTCGCTCTCCCCTTCCCCTCTAAAGATAAATAAATAAAATCTTTTAAAAATATTTATTTATTTTTAGAGAAAGGGGAAGGGAGGAAGAGAGAGAAAGAGAGAAACATCTATCCACTGCTGTTTGCACACCCTCCACTAGGGACCTGGCCTGGAATTGAACCAGTGACCTTTTGTTTGCAGGCTGGCACTCAGTCCACTGAACCACAGTGGCCAGAACTTAGAATTCTGAAGGGTTTTGGGTATTTATTTATTTATTTATTTATTTTAGAGATGGGAGGGAGATAGCAAGAGAAACATTAATGTGTGGTTGCCTCTCACGTGCCCTCTAGTGGGGACCTGGCATACATCCCAGGCATGTGATGTAGACTAGGAATGGAACCAGCTGCCCTTTGGTTTGCAGGCCAGCACTCAGTCCCCTGAGCCACACCAGCCAGGACCCACTGGCTTTTTAAATTGGGAAATGTTTCTTTGTAAATTTATATATGGCTGTTATCTGATTACAGAACACATGTATGTTTATATCTTGTAGATAAAGCAAAAAAAAATTCCTGATAAATCACCCATAGATAACATCTGTTAACCTTCTGGTATAGCTTCTTTTTTTTCTTTATGTTTCCATATTTATATATCTTTTATTCCCTCCTTCCTATGTGGAATTACAACCTCAAAAAATGTTTTATATATTTTATACCTAAATACATTTTTTTCAAAAATTTTAAAAATTTGAGCACAGGCCTGCAAACCAAAAGATTGCAGTTTGATTCCCTGTCAGGGCACATGCCTGGGTTGCAGGCCAGTTCCCAGCAGGGGCCAGTTCCCAGCAGGGGACTCACCAGAAGCAACCATACATTGATATTTCTCTCCTTCTGTCCTTCCCTTCCCTTCTAAAGATAAATAAACTAAATTTTTAAAAAATCTATTGAGCGCAGGCCTGCGAACCAGACAATCGCAGTTCGATTCCCAGTCAGGGCACATACCGGGGTTGCAGGCTGGTTCCCTGCAGGCCAGTTCCCAGCAGGGGGCGCACGAAAGGCAACCATACATTAATGTTTCTCTCCCTTTCTCCTTCCCTTCTCCTCTAAAGATAAATAAATAAAATCTAAAAAAAAATCTTAAACATTTTTAAAAATTTTTTATTTGTTTATTTTTAGAGAGGAAGGGAAGGAGAGAAGGAGAGAAACATCAATGTGTGGTTGCCTCTGGTGAGTCCCCTGCCGGGAACTGGCCTGCAACCCAGGCACATGCCCTGACTGGGAATCGAACCACGATCCTCTGGTTTGCAGGCCCGCACTCAATCCACTGAGTTATACCAGCCAGGGCTCCTAAGTACATTTTATACTATATATTTTCTCCTTGATATTGTGAACATTCAAGTTAAGCAATACACAAAAAGTGGTATTGAGTTACCACATACCATTTTCTTCTGTAGAACATATACATGCATTGCTCTGTACAGTCATGCTAAGCCTGCAACTGTTTCTGTCCTGGTGGTTATGCTGTTATAGCTTTTGTGAGGATATTTTATATATTGATTTCTAGAATAACACTCCACTTTCCTCTTTTCAACACGAGTCTCTCATGAAGGAGGATTTCAGTTGCTGGTGGGTGCTTAGGCTCCATTCTAAGCCTGTAACTCTGTTCTGGTCTTCCCAGGCACCATGTGGTCCAGTATGTTTCTCAGAAAAGCTCTTTTGTATGTTTTAGCTATCCCCCAGCGAGCAGACCATAAGATGGTGGACACCATCGACCAGCTGGTCACTCGTGTCATTGGAGGCAGTCTGTCTCCTAAAGAGAGAGCTCATCTCAAGGAGGACCCTGCTTACTGGTAGGTCTGAAAATATCAGCCCTCCAAATCCCTCCCATAGAGCACAAAGCAACATTTATGTTTCTCTGGCGGTGTCCAGAGCAGAGGTTGGTATATTTATTTTGAGCACCATCCCTACTGCAGACTTGACCTATGGACTAAGACCTATGGCTGGTCTTAGAAGTCCACATCCCTGCTGTGCTAGTTTAAGAATGAATTGAGATGTGCATGTAAATAGTGTGTGTAAGATGAAGGATATGTCACAGCAGCTGTTTGTGATTTATTGTTACTTTTTGTTAAACTGTCTTTTGCCTTATTGCCTCTTCACATGAATAGAACTTTTTAAAAGTTTTCATCATAAATACAGTACTTATTAGAGTAAGCGATACAGTTGAAAGGTTATCAAGCAGTCACCATTTTGAAGGGTGTCACTTTCTGAAAATGGAGTCCAGGAGCAACATCTATCATGTGCTGGTAGGAGAATGCTTCCATAGTTCCAGGGTAACTGGTTTGTGTAGCTAAGCTCCCAAGAGCTATGAAGTCCTTTGTAGCTGCTGATGGAATTGAGGAGGATTCCATCAGTGCTTAAAGGTCCTGATTGCCCTGTAATCACTCTGGGCAAAATAGGTGACCTGGGCCCAGCTCTGGGTCTTCAATGGAACCAGGTGGAGCCTCAGACAGTGGAGAAGCCATTGTGCAGAAAGGGTTTGCCAGTGTATTTGCAGCAGTGATTTAGTGGTGCTGGTGTTTTAGCAATGTCCCACTGTGTTTGTCTTAATTTATAGGTTTTTGTCTGATGACAGTAGTCTGGAGTATAAATATTACAAGCTGAAATTGGCAGAAGCACAGCGGATAAGCCAAACCTCACCAGGAATGGGTCAGAAGCCAGTGGCAGCAGAATGTGCAGTCCGGGCTATGCTGTATGCCCGGGCAGTCCAGAGCCTCAAGAGGAGGCTCCTTCCAGGACGGCGGCGGAGGCTACTCCGAGCTCAAGGTCTCCAGGGGTGGAAGATGAGAAGAGCAACCACTGGGACCCAGACCCTCCTTTCCTCAGGCACCAGGCTGAAACACCACACTCGGCAAGCTCCAGGCTCTTCACAGGAAAAGCCAGCCGCTTTCCAGCCAGATGGAAATGATGCTGCCAAGGACTGCCTGCCAGACCCAGCTGGGCCCTCTCCTCAGGACCTCAGCTCAGAAGCTGCAGGCCCATCTCCCGAGCCAGCAGAAGTAGATGTATCCAGAGCCCCTCAGAGCTCTTCTCCCTGCCTGTCTGCTGATGGTGGGTGCTTACTCCTGTCTTCCTCCTCTGGGCCCTAGCTCTGAATCTCTAATCTCCAGGTCTCTGCAGTGGTCTGGGCAGTGGGCAGTAGCAACAGGGACCTGGTGAGGATGGGTGCACAAGATGGCACTTTCTCTCCTCTTGCTTCCTCAAGGGGGCAGCCCGTGAGTTCTGTGTTGTCCTTCCTCCTCTCCTAAAGGTGAAGCTAACCTGGATTGCTGCCTAGTGCCTGTGCCCCACTGCAAGATCCTGCTGTTGACCATCAGGTCATGCCTTACACATGTGCTTGGGGCTTTGAGCCCCATTTCTCTTCGTTCTTTCATCCTTTACATTCTGTAGGGCTGTACTGTTCTCGTTCCATCTCCTCTCCCCAGGTCTCTGTGATCCCTCCTCAGGGTTAGGTGACCTGAAGTTCCCTCTGAAGTTGCCAACTTAGGCCCTTCTGTGTATCCTAGCCTTCCTCTTCTGCAACATGTCAACCCCCTGACCAGTGTTTCCCACTCAGCACTAGGCAGAAACATAGAAGGGGGAAATCTACCCAACTGCTGCATGTTCTAGCTATTGCTACAGAACACGCAACTCCAAATGGTAGCTTCACACAGGAGCTAAGCTTGGCTGGGCCTGCACAAGTGTTTGTAGGTAGTGGCTGGTTGTCTGAGGCTCTTTGAGGGTAATGTGAGTGACTGGATCATGTGCCTGCCACCCTCCAGCAGCCAGCCAGGTATGACTCACCTGAGGTTGGTGTCAGACCTCCAGGAGAGGCAGTGGAGGTGCTTAAAGCCTTTGAGCTCCAGGCTTGGTACTTCTGCCTCATCTGTTGGCTAGCAGGAGTCTTGGGGCCAGTCCCAGTTCAGGGGAGAGGAAAGTCTACCTCTGACTGACAGAGCTGCAGAGTCATATGGCAAAGGGTGAATATGCAGAGAGGGACATGAGGGGCTGTCTCCGTAATCAGTTTCCACAGCCCCATGATGTCCACATGGCATGTGGCAGCTCAGAACCAATGCATGACAGTTGCTTTGTTTTATAGTTGACACAAAGACCATGGAGACTGCAGAGAAACTGGCCAAATTTGTTGCTCAGGTGGGACCAGAGATTGAACAATTCAGCATAGAAAACAGCATCGACAACCCTGACCTGTGGTATGTATGCATCACACTGTTCTGATTTGAGTATGTTCAGCCACAAGTGTCCTGAGAGCCTGAAGGGTTGACCACCCTGCTGCAGGATGTCATGCCTGGATAAGTTGACTTTGCTTCTGCTGAGCTCAAGGACATGAGGGAGGAATGTCTGTTCTAGAGTATCGAGGGGATGAGGGGGACCATACCTAATCTGGGGGATTGAAAAAAACTCTCCATATGGACATTTAAGCTGGATCTGACAGCCAAATAGGACTTCTCCAGAGGAGGGGAAATAATTCCATGGGCAGAGGGATGGTGTCCGTAAGACCTGAGCAGAGACAGAACAATGGTAGGAGAAAGGAGGGTGCATCCTTATCCAAGCGCCTGAGGAAGAAGGGGGCACTGCCCCCTGGTCACACTGGCTGCTGTGGGCTGATAAGAATTTGCTGCTCGTGGAATGATGATGGTGGCCCTGGTGTAAGTGAGCTTGGCACCCCCCAGGCTGGGAGGGACATCATTACCCTCCCTGTTCCTCAGACTCAATACCATACAGTCTAGAAGCAGCTCTGCCTCTGGGGTACAGGTTCGCCACCAGAGTCCCCAGTACTGAGCCATAATTCTACTGGGCTTCCCCAGCTAGTGGGGAGTGTGTGGGAAGCAGGTGGGTTTGCATGCTATGTACATTGTATCCTACAGTCTGCTGGGGCTTTGGAAAGTTGTCCTGCTCCCAGCCTGCTGCAGAGCCTGGTTTGCTTGCGTGCTGTAGTCTAATAAAGAATGGCCAGAAGTTAAGGACTTCTGGCCAAGATGGAGGCCAGAAGTGGAGGCGGGAACATTGTGCCTCCTCACACAACCAAGTAACAAAAATGCAACCAAAACACAGAAAGTTGAACTGTAAAGAAGTCTGACAACAACGAACCATTCAGCCAGACCAGTAAGAGGGGTGGAGTCAGCAGCTGGCGGAGTGGGGTCGCACAGGAAAAAGTGGCCAGACAGACCCAGGCATGCAGGCAGCGGTTGGCAGATCCCAAGTGGGGTGGCAACGGGCAGACACAGTGGGGGCGCAAGATGGCTGGCTGACCACAGTCACACATTCACACTCAGATAAGCCAGGCGAAGGAGCAAGCAGTGAGACAGACAGCGCAGGCTAGGACCCCAGTGATGGGAATTAAAGCCTAAAAGCGCCAATTGGAAAAACTTTTGGGGTCGAGGTGCCAGGAGAAGCTCCCAGACTCACAGAGAGTTTGTTGGAGAGACCCACAGGGTCCTGGAGGGTGCACAGGCCCACACACCCGGGAGCTGGCACCAGGGGGGCCTGGTTTGCTTGTGGGAAGCAGCAGAGGGGACCGAAATCCAAGAGAGAGCGGAACAAACTCCATTGCCCCTCTCTGACCCCGCCCCCACATACTGTGTCAAAACCCAGCAACTGGGTCACCCCACCCTGGTGAACACCTAAGGCTCTCTCCCTCATACATAACAGGCGCGAACAGACCAAAACATTATGGCTCAAGAACAGCTCAAAGCCCCAGAGCCAATACTTCTAAGCAATGAAGAAATAGCCAAACTTTCAGATGCACAGTTCAAAACACTGGTGATCAGCATGCTCACAGAACTGGTTGATTTTAGTCACAAATTAGAGGAACAAATTTGAAATGAAGGGAAATTCACAGAAAACCAGTAGTGATGGAAAGGAAATGGACTCAAATCAAGGGAGTGGACCAGAAGGAAGGAAAAAATGACCAAACAGAAAAATATGAAGAAACAAGAATTCAAAAAAATGAGGAGAGGCTTAGGAACCTCCAGGACATCTTTAAACGCTCCAACATCCGAATTATAGGAGTACCAGAAGGGGAAGAGGAACAGTCACGAGTGGAAACCTTATTTGAACAAATAATAAAGGAGAACTTTAGTTCTGGCAAAGGAAATAGACTTCCAAAAAACCCAGGAAGCTCAGAGAGTCCCAAAGAAGTTGGACCCAAAAAGGAACACACCAAGGCACATCATCATTACATTAGCCAAGATTAAAATGAAGGAGAGAATCCTAGAAGCAGCAAGAGATAAGGGGACAGTCACCTACAAAGGAGTTCCCATCAGACTACCAGCTGATTTCTCAAAAGAGACCTTACAGGCAAGAAGGGGCTGGAAAGAAGTATTCCAAGTCATGAAATCCAAAAGCCTACATCCGAGATTGCTCTATCCAGCAAAGCTTTCATTTAGAATGGAAAGACAGATAAAGTGCTTCTCAGATAAGATCAAGTTCAAGGAGTTCATCATCACCAAGCCCTTATTATATGAAATGTTAAAGGGACTTATCTAAGAAAAAGAAGATAAAAAAGATGAACAGTGAAAGGACAGCAAACTCACAGTTATTAACAGCCACACCTAAAACAAAAGCAAACTAAGAGGACAGCTAGATCAGGTGTGGAACCATAGAAATGAAGATCACATGGAGGGTTAGCAACAGGGGAGTGGGAGGAGGAGAAGGGGGGAGAAGGTACAGAAAATAAGTAACATAGACAGCAGGTAGAAAATAAACAGGGAGGAGGGCAAGAATAGTATGGGAAATACAGAATCTAAAGAACTTGTGACACATGGACATAAATGAAAGGGTGGGGATGGTGGGGGAGGGTTGTGCAGGGTGGAGGGGAATAAAGGGGGGGAATAGGACAACTGTAATGGCATAATAAATAAAATATATGTTTTTTTAAAAAGAAACATAATTGGCCCTGGCTGGGGTGGCTCAGTGGATTGGATGCTGGCCTGCAAACCAAAGGGTTCACCAGTTCAATTCCCAGTGTAGGGTACACGCCTCTGTTGTGGGCCAGTTTCTCAGTAAGAGGCACTTGAGAAGCAGCCGCACATTGATGTTTCTCTCCCTCCCCCTCTCTCTAAAAATAAATGAATAAATAAAGTTTTAATGCATAATTGGTAGGTACAAAATAGGGAGATGTTAAGAATAGTGTAGGAAATGGAGAAACTGAAGAACTTATATGCATGACCCATAGACATGAACTAAGGAGGGGGATTGCTGGAGGAAAGGAGGGTACCAGGCAGGGGGAGACAAAATTAAAATAATTGGGATAACTATAATATTATAAGCAATAAAATCTTATAAAATGCAGTTAACAACTTCACATTTCCTACTGCATTTCTGGGACCTAGTGGTGGCCAAGTATGCTTTTCTAGCATGTTCGAGACCTTGACTGGGCACTGCCCTGGAGGTACCTTTTGCTTCTTGGGAGAACCAGACCATGCCTAGAGCACTGATGGTTTTGCAAATGCTCTCCCTGCTCCTGCCTTTTATAGGCCTTGTGACCTCAGGGGCTGCCACCTGCAGGCCTCAGAGTGGGGCTTCCTGTAGCTTGCCCTGGCAGGGCCAGGTGGAGGGGACAGCTCAATACAAGGAAAAATAAAGGCTGCAAGAAAAGTTTACATCATCTGGGGCACTTAGTTCAGCCAGGGTTTGGGGTTATTCCTCACCCTCTGTGCAGGCTTTTTTTTTTTAATAGAGGAAGGGAAGAGAATGAGAGAAACATCGATTGTTTGCCTCCTGCATGCTCCCAGCAGGGGACCTGGCCCACAACCCAGGCATGTGTCTTGACCTGGAATCAAAACATCAAGCTTTTGGTCCACAGGATAACGCCCAAACCACAGAGCCACACCAGTCTGGGCTGTGCAGCCTTTTGTCAGCAGTTTTCCTTGGAATGTGCTGTTCCTTCCTTACCTACAGTGAGAATCCTGGATTCTACAGTAATATCAGTTGGGGTGATACAGCCTGTCCCCCAATGCTCACAAAATAATTTGAAACTCATTACACCGGGTAGCATGCCTATTTGGTAAAGGCCAATATGCCTTCATGTTTCTTTTTTTTTCTTTTTTTTGAAAGAATTACACCTCTGCCCTGGCTGGTGTAGCTCAGTGGATTGAGCATGGGCCCTTGAAGCAAAGGGTTGCTGGTTCGGTTCCCAGTCAGGGTACATGCCTGGGTTGCAGGCCAGGTCCCCAGTAGGGGACACATGAGAGGCAACCACACATTGATCTTTCTCTCCCACTTTCTCCTTCCCGTCTCTTCTCTAAAAATAAATAAATAAAATAATTTTTAAAAATAAATAAATAATACAATAAATAAACTCGTTCTTTTTTTACACTATTTTTTAATTTAATTATTTTTCAAGTACAGTTTTCTGCTGTTTCTCCCATCCCAGCCCACCCCACCTCATGCTCCCCACCTCCCTCCTATTTCCACCCCCCTTAGTTATTGTCCCTGTGTAATTCATATTTGTTCCTCTAAATCCCTCCCCTTTCTCCCCTTAAATTCCCTCCCCTCTCCCCTCTCTGGTCTCTGTCCCCCTGTTTTCTATTTCAGTGTCTTTGTTTTTATTTTACTTGCTTGTTTGTTTTGTTGTTTAGCTTCCTGTTAAAGGTGAGATCATATGGTATTTGTCTTTCAACACTTGGCTTATTTCACTCAGCATAATGCTTTCCAGTTCCATCCATGCTGTTGCAAAGGGTAGTAGCTCCTTGTTTCTCTCTGCTGCATAGAATTCCATTGTGTATATGTACCACAATTTTTTGATCCATTCATTTACTGCCGGGCACCTAAGTTGCTTCCAACTCTTGGCTATTGTAAATTGTGCTGCTAGGAACATTGTGGTGCATAAGTTCTTTGAGATTGGTGTTTTAAGGTTCTTAGAATATAATCCTAGCAGTGGAATTGCTGGGTCAAAAGGCAGGTCCATTATTAGTTTTCTGAGAAAATTCCATACTGTTTTCCATAATGGTTGTACCAGTCTACAATCCCACCAACAGTGAAGTAGGGTCCCCTTTTCCCTACAACCTCTCTAACATTTGTTGTTTGTTGCTTTGTTTATGATAGCCATCCTGACCGGTGTAAAGTGGTATCTCATAAATAAACTCATTCTTTAAAAAAAAGAAAGAATTACACCTCTGATGTACTCAGTAGTCACTTGAGTTGATTCATTTGTGTGTGTGTGTGGCTGTTTCATCAACTTGACATATAGTCAGTTTCATTTGTTTCTGTGGATATTCAGTTTTAGGACCTTTTTTTCTGTCCTTTTTTATTTTACTTTTAAAATAAGTACAGCAGACCTGGCCAGGTAGCTCAGTTGGTTAGAGCATCGTCCCTATATGCCAAGGTTACAGGTTCAATCCCCAGTCAGGGCATGTAGAATTAACCAATGAATGCATAAATAAGTGGAACAACAAATCCATGTTTCTCCCATGCTCTTTCTGTCTCTGAAAATCAATATATTAAGAAAAAATAATCAGTGGATTGAATGCAGGCCTGTGAACCAAGGGGTCACCAGTTCAATTCCCATCAGGGCACATGCCTGGGTCACAGGCCAGGTCCCCAGTAGGGGGCACACAAGAGGCAACCAAACATGGATGTTTCTCTCCCTCCCTTCTCCTCTTTAAAATTAATAAGTACAATCATAAAAAAAAAAAGTACAGCCCTGACTGATGTGGCCTAGTTTGCCAGGCATTGTCCTGAAAGGCAAAAGGTCACTGGTTCGATGACAGGTCAGGTCAGGGCACATGCCTGGGTTGTGGGCTTGGTCCCCATTTGGGGCACATGTGAGAGACAACTAACTGATCAATGTTTCTCTCCCTCTCTTTCTTCCTCCCTTCCCCTCTCTTCACAAATAAATAAATAAATATTTAAAAACTAAGTACATTTGTATGGTTGTAAAGTAAAAATTGTAAAAGGTAAGTTGAGAGAAGTGGGACTACAGTATTTTACTCACCTGTTGACCGCAGTTGGGATGTTGTCATTGTGATATTATTACATATAAATCTGCTGTGAGCACTATTCATGTGTAAAGACCTCTGTGAACACCTGCTTTTATTTCTCAGATAAATAGGAGGGGAAAGGCTGGCTGCCATGGTCAATCCACATTTACCTGAGGAAACTGCCAAACATCCTTTCCAAGTGACTGAATCATTTTTTCTTTTTAGCAGCCTGGATGAGAGTTTGGTTTCTCCCCTTCCTCGCCAGCACTTATCTGTGTTTTTAATGTCTCAGTTCCAGGAAGGGGAGAGGGTATCCCACTGTGGTCTTGCTTCTCTGAGGACTGATGGTGCCAAGCATCTTCCATTGTGCTTATGTGCTTTCCATATTTCTTTAGTGAAGTGTCTCTTCATATCTTTGGCCCCTTTTTTGATTGTGCTGTTTACTTAGTAATAAATTTTGAGAGTTAATTATGTGTTTTTTGTTTTTAATTCTCATCTGAGTATATGTTAATTAATTTTAGAGAGAGAGGAAGTGGAGGGAGAGTCACCATTGTGAGAGAGAAGCATCAATCAGTTGCCTTCTGTATGCTCCCTGACCGAGGATTGAATCCACAACATTTTGGTGCATGGGAAAACATCCATCCAACAGAACACCTAGTCAGGGCATATGGCTTGGTTTTTGCATTTAGATCCCCAATTTGTGTGGAGTTAATTTGGGAGCAAGGGGTTCAGCGTGGATCCAATTTAAATATTTTTCTTAAAACTTCCAGTTGTCCCAGCACCATTTGTTGACAAGATTTTCTTTTTCAAAATGGCTTGAGGGCCCTGGCTGGCATAGCTCAGTGAATTGAGCACGGGCCTGCGAACCAAAGGATTGAGGTTCAATTCCCAGCCAGGGCACATGCCTGGGTTGCAGGCCAGTTCCCAGCAGGGGACACACAAGAGGCAAGCATACATTGATATTTCTCTCCCTCTCTCCTTCCCTTCCCCTCTAAAGATAAATAAATAAAATCTTTTTTAAAAAATGGCTCGAGGGGCCCCCTTTATCAGATGCTGTGTTTCTGACTTCTTTTGGTTTGTCTGTCCATCTGTTCATGGACAAGTACCACACTTTTTTTTTAAGCGACAGTTGACATTCAACATTATATTATTAGTTTCAGGTATACAGCATAGTGGTTAGACATTTATACAGTTTATGAAGTGATCCCCCAGTAATTCTGGTACCTACCTGGCACCATACATAGTTATTACAATATTATTCACTATATTTTTTATGCTGTACTTTACATATCTGTGACTATTTTGCAACTACCAATTTGTACTTCTTTTTTTTTTCTCTTTTAAGATTTTTTTATTTTTTGAGTGAAGGGAAGGGAGAGAGAAAGTGAGTGAGAGAAACATCAATTGGTTGCCTCTTGTACACACCCCAACTGGGCACTGAACTCGCAACGCAGGCATGTGCCCTGACTGCAAATCAAACCAGTGACCTTTTTTGGTTTGTGGGATGACACCCAACCAACTACGCCACCCCAGTCAAGGCCCAATTTGTACTTCTTTTTTTTTTTTTTTTAAGATTTTATTTATTTATCTTTAGAGAGGAAGGGAAGGAGAGAAGGAGAGATATATCAGTGTATGGTTGCCTCTTGTGAGTCCCCCGCTGGGAACTGGCTCGCAACCCAGGCATGTGCCCTGACTGGGAATCGAACTGCGATCGTGTAGTTCGCAGGCCTGCGCTCAATCCCCTGAGCTACACCAGCCAGGGCCCAATTTGTACTTCTTAATCCCACTACACTGTTTTAACTGTACAGGTATCACACACCTTGTAATATCTGATGGGGCTTGTTCAGAGCTCTCCCAGATGTCGTCTGTATAAACTTTAGAATTATCTTGTCTAGATCCAGAAACAAATCATGCTTTTATTAGGACACTTTTTGACATTAATACATTAACTAAGGTGAGAACTAACATCTTTATGAGGTCAAGTTGTCCTGTCCAAGAACAAGGGTTGTCTTTCCTTTGGTTCAAATGTATTTTGTATCTTCGGGTTTGATTTGGTTTTTCACAATAGCCAAACTCCCAAGCTCTGACTATGTGTCTAGGTGGTCCTCAGACTCGGAGGCTAAGAGAGGCTTTATCACCAACATGTTTATGCAGCTTCTCTGCAGGATATGAGGCAGAAAGTTCAGTGGGTGATGCACTTCCTCCATCTTGTACCTGGCAGTGTGAAAGGGACCCTAGAGTCACACTGAAAGGTTCAGAGGGCCAGTAACGTCACTAAAAAGGATGAGTCAGGCCACGTTGGGTCTCCAGACTGAGTGTTGGAGCTTATTTCAGCACATTGCCTAGTTGTCCCTGCCTACCTTGTTTCTCTACTTCCCTCCCCTGAAAAGAAATTAGGCTTCACATTCTGGCTCCACAAATTTTGTATCATTGCAAAGCTGTACCATCAGCCATAGCTGGTAGAAAGATGTCAGGCTATTCCCTTCTTTGTCCCATCCCCAGCTTCTTGGGTCTGTTCAGACAGTTTGAGCAAATAAGAATGTTCAGAAGACCGTCTGATTAACCAGTGTATATCATTTTTATCCTAGGTTTCTACATGACCAAAACAGCTCAGCTTTCAAATTCTATCGAAAGAAGTTATTTGAACTGTGCCCATCGATTTGTTTTACATCATCTCCACTGAACCTGCACGCTGGTGAGAGTTCCTTAGAACCCATGGAAGAGGAAGAAGAGTTTGCAGATGAGCCTCCTCAGCAGGAGATTGAGCTGGAAAGCCTAGAGGTGATGCCTGAGGAGGAGGAGGAAGAGGAAGATGAGGAGGAGGAGGAGGGGGGCGAGGAGGCCCCCACTCCTGAAGGTTCTTCCAGGGCTATAGGAGAGGCTGCCAAGTCTGAGGGCTCTGAGGGCAGCCCCCCCACTGATGGTCTTCCAAGCGAGGCAGCCGAGGATGGCCCAGCTGGTACCTCTGCCCTATCACAGTCCTCTTCGGGGTCCTGCTTTCCTCGGAAGAGAGTCAGCAGCAAGTCATTGAAGGTTGGCATGATTCCAGCTCCCAAGAGGCTGTGTCTCATTCAAGAGCCCAAAGGTGAGTGCCATCATTAGCGCAGCACCCTGCTTAGTCTTCTGTTTAGCGCTTGAGGAAGAGTTAGCAGTACTTGGTTGTGGAAACAGGTGGAAATGTTACCTGCTTATTTTGGAGAATTTGCTAACCCTCAGCCACAAGGTAACAAGCTGGCCCCTGTTACCTTCCCACCTCTGATTCTACCTGCCAACCTGGACATTACCTCCCAAATCCTCTCAGCCCACTCAACATAGAGTTCTTTGGTCTTGTGTTTTTAACCTAAAACAGTCCTTGTGGTTTTGCACACCACTCCAAATGTTCATGTGAAACTCATGTTTCTAGTTGATCTAATGTTTGTACTCTAAAGAGATGCTGCCATGTAGACTGTGGTTTCTAGAGTCCCACATACCGCTTATGGTCTCCATTGCTCAGATTCCAGCAGGATAGCCCTGGCTATGGAGAGGATATGCCCAGGTCACCTCAGCCATTTCCTGCCCATGGCCTTAGGGTGCCTGGCCTTCTGAGCCAAGGAAGGCCTAGAGTAGTAACACTTGCCTAGTGACAGTGAAGTGGGAGGACATGAGATGGGACTGGTCTCATGCAGCCATTAGCGAGAGCCATGTGTTCTGTAGAAACCATCTCCTGCTCTCCTCTGTGGAGGGTTAAGGTACTGGAGGTACAATTTGCCTGCAATAAAATGCACCCCCTTCAAGTGGAGGTTTTGAGTTCTGGCAAATGTGTACAGGTATGAACTCACTGGTACAGTGGAGCTAGAGCCTGTCCCCAGAAAGAGGGTGTAGTTCCCTCCCCTATCTGGCCCTAGTAGCCACAGACTATTTTCTGGCCTTTTCTTTTATTATTATTATTTTTTAATGTATTAGTTAATTTTAGAGAGAGGGGAAGAAAAACATTGATTTGTTACGCCACTTGTTTATGCATTCATTGGTTGATTCTTGTATGCGCCCCAACTGGGGATCAAACCTGCAGTGGTGGTATATCTGGACAATGCTCTGACCAACTGAGCTACCTAGCCAGGGCTGGCCTTGCCTTTTTTAGGCTCAATAAATAGAATTGTATTGTGTGGCCTTTTGACAGGCTGGTCATGGCCCAGGCTACTACTCATACCTCGTACCCACCCAAGTGTCCACACAGCCAAGCCTCAGCCATGTGCTTTTTTTTTTTTTTTTAATTTTATTTAGTTATTTTTCAAGTACAGTTTTTTGTCTATTTTTCCCATCCCAGCCTCCCCCGCCCCTTGCTCCCCACCTCCCTCCCATTTCCACCCCCCCTTAGTTCTCGTCCCTGTGTCCTTCCTATTTGTTCCTCCAAATCCCTCCCCCTTTTTCCCCTTAACTTCCCTTCCTTCTCCCCTCTGGTCACTATCCCCTTGTTCTCTATTTCAGTGTCTTTGTTTTTTGGTTAGTGTGGAACTGATGCTGTGAGGTGGTGGTGGTGAACAGTGCCCCATCATTTGTCACTCATGTTGTTTGATGTTACTGCAGCTGTCACATTCACACCCAGCAGTATCAGTATAGTTTCCCACTAACAGAACAGTCCCATGATTTGTGTTTATAAACTTTGGCATAGCAATGGATCACTGTAACTGTTTTACTGAACTCTTATTGCAGATGGTGGTAGCATATCAGAATATATTCCTGTGGTCATGGAACATGATTCACATAACATATTTGATCCTTTATCATAAACATGGGCGTCTTATATTTAAGGATACTCTCCCATAGTAAGGAGCCCTTGGTTAAGCCCATATGTTCATCCTCTGGGCTCCATGGTCATGTGGTTCCCGGGAGGATGCTGGGCCAAGCAGCTGGCCTTGTGTAAGTCGTCGCCACCTTCTGTCAACAGAGGAGCTATTAGCCAAAATTGCAGCATTCTCATTTTCTCTCTCAGAAATCTGGGTAAAGCATATATACATATATAAGCACACACACAAACATATATGTTTTTGTCTTCCAGTTCACGAACCAGTTCGCATTGCCTACGACAGGCCTCGGGGTCGTCCCATGTCCAAAAAGAAGGTAAGCGTGACTTTTTGTGAATTCTCTTGTGACATAGTCAGCTAGAATGTGTCTGAGTCTGAAAGGATACTGTGGCTTGTGGTTAAGCTGTATTTATACTTCAGACTGGGTATAAATGTACAAAGCACAACTGTCTTTTCTTTCAGGCAACTTTTGAAAACTGTTTAGCTTAGTCCAAAGCAGAGGACAGTAGTCCATTTAAGAGATAGTTGACCCTGACTGTGTGGCACAGTTGGTTGGGCATCATCCTGCAGAGCAAAAGGTCTCCAGTTCAACTCCTGGTCAGGGCACATGCCTGGGTTGTAGGGTCAGTCCCTGGTAGGGGTGCACGTGGGAAGCAACCTATTGATGTTTTTTTCTCTCACATCAGTGTTTCTCTCCCTTTCTCCTTCCTTACCCTCTTGCTAAAAATAAATAAATAACATCTTTAAAACATTAAAAAAACAGTGGAATGCCTGGCTGGTATAGCTCAGTGGATTGAGTGCAGGCCTGCGAATCAGAGGATCACGGTTCAATTTTCAGTCAGGGCACATGCCTGGGTTGCAGGCCAGTTCCCAGCAGGGGACACACAAGAAGGCAACCATACATTGATATTTCTCTCCTTCCCTTCTTCTCTAAAGATAAATAAGTAAAATCTTAAAAAAAAACCAAAACAGTAGAATGGAGAGATGAAAAAGTAATGTCTCAGTCCTCAAGAGGTTCAGATTTAGTGGACTGTAATGTAATGTGGTTTAAAAAGCAGTTAAGCAGATTATGTGTGCTAATTAACTAGTTGGCACCTCCTATGCATCAGGCCCCATGTGCCTACCCTGAGGCACTAGTGAGCAGGGCTGAAATGTGTGTGACCAGGTTGTGGCAGGGGGTACTGTCGGTTCAGAGAAGCAGTTTGACAGGAAATAAGGAGGGATTAGGGTGCCATTTAAGCAAAAGGGCCTGGAAAAGGCCTCAGGGTGGTCATCAGTCAACAGAGAGCTCTTTGAGCCTGAGTGGAGTGAGGAGGGCAGGGAGGTGAGGAAGTAGAGGCAGCAGGACTCAGGTCCTTCTCTGGGAGAGCCAACTGGGGACCCATGGTGAGGTTTGAGCAGAAGACATATGGCCACTGGTTGTTGCGTTGAGAGCAGCCTATGGGGTGGGAGCCAGTCAGAGCTGGAAACAGGAGGGGTAAAGGTGGATCTAGTAGGACTCAGATGAATTGGACATGGAACAGTGAAAGCCAAGAGTGCAGCACAATCCCAGGGTTGTTGACCTGGGTAGTTAGGAGGATGGAGCCACCATTGGCTGAACTGGGGAGCCCCGGGGGCAGGGGGAGTGAATTCCAGGTGGCCAGGTGAAGTCATCTGGAACAATGGAGACATCACAGGTCCCTAGAAGTCAAGGAGGTGAGCAGGGAACGAGGAGGTCTCTGCTGGTGAGGAAAGCCCACGCGGTGGCCACTGATGAGTCAGACTCGTTTCGAGTGCACCAGTTTCATCAGCCAGATGAAGCATTATTCTGGCCCCAGGTATAGCAGGAGGAAGAGCGTTTATGAACCCAGAGCTCGTGGTCCTTCTGCTGCACTCAGATTTAAGCTGAGCCAACACCCAGGCACCCATCTGGTGGCCTGGGTTAAAGCAAAGCCTGGTTGTGGGTCAGCTTGGGTTCAGGCTCAGGCTGGCCACCTAATCTTACCATGTAACTCCTGAGCTTCCATGTGTACATCTGTTATATGAGGCAGTCACAACTACCCTGCAAGTAGGACATATCTTGAGGATTAAATGAAATGGATGTTATCCCTGTGTGCATTGTGTGTCCTGCAGATGCAGTCTTTCCTTGGGGGACTGCAGACGGGGAGGGAGACTTTCCTGCAGCTCTTCATGCACACCTCAGCACAAGGAGACTGGTCAGGGTGACTCTCAGGCTTAGATTTAATGCTACAAGATCTGTCCAGGCCGAGCTGACCCCTGTTCTTTCCGTTGCTCCCACCAAGAGCTTTCCTGAAGGGGGGCAGGTCTGCCATTTGGGAACCATGAGCCAGCCTTTGCCCTGCCTCCCCCACAATCCATTTACCTTAACTGTTCTTTTCTGGGTCTGGGAGGGCATGATAGGCACCCTTGTCATCTCAGTGGCAGATTCCATCTCCTCCATTCTCCAGTTCACTTTCCTGATGGTGGGGGCCCCATTAGGACTAGCAACTCCTGCCCATTGTTCCCTTGGCTTTCCCCTGGCCTTCAGCCTACACACATCTCTCCCATACTACTGTTTGTCCCTTCTTCCTGCACCAGCCATTGGCAAGCTTCTCCCTCCTTTGCGTCCCTCCTTAAATGCCCTGAAGATGGACTTTCATCTGCCAAAACCCCTTGCCTTCCAGCTTCTCCAAATTTGCTCAGTGACTCAGATACACACACACACACACACAAACACACACACACACACACACTGCTTCATACCTCAGGGCATACTTCCCTTCCTGTCACTGGACTCCCGGTGCCTCTCTTATTTTGTCCCTTCTAGGGTAAGAGCTGGGGAGGTGACCATGGCTTGATGATGAATGTCTGGGGAGTCAGGGAGCATCAGTGCTGGACCATGTTGGAGACCCTCACTCTGGGTACTGTTGTTGCAACCCACGTGCTGCATTCTGCTTTTTCCTCAGAAACCCAAGGACTTTGACTTTGCCCAGCAAAAGCTGACCGACAAGAACCTGGGGTTCCAGATGCTGCAGAAGATGGGCTGGAAGGAAGGCCATGGCCTGGGCTCCTGTGGAAAGGGCATCAGGGAGCCTGTTGGCATGTACGTAGCAGGCACTTAGGGCTGAGGGGTAGGGGGATGGTATCGTGCCTGTGCCTGAAAGAAGAGGCTTTCTTTGGTATTCTGATCCTAAATTGTTTCACCTGCAGGCTAATTCTTGGTTCCCTTCATGGTGAACATGGTTTAAAGTTAGCAGGGTTTTTAATTTGGTGTATGGGTGAGGCGGGTGGTGCAGTGTTTGTTTGTTTGTTTGTGTGTTTGTTTAGCGAAGGGCGTCTTCAGATGAGATGAGAAGCAGATGTTTTCATAGGCAGGTGTTCACCTGGCTCTTTGCTGTGCTTGTGCAGACTGTTTAAATGGCTTTTTGGCCCCTGGCATTTTGTCCACATTGTCATAAAAGCTGAGTGGTGATTCTGGATAGTTACAACAAGAAGCACTTTTCCTTTTCTGGGAATCTATATGCAACCCTTATAGCACAGGTGGCAAATACAAGGCCTACAGGCCAAATCCAGCCCTCCATCTTATTTTATCCAGCCCAGCACTTTGTTTCTATCTGGTAGCAGCACTGAGCTCCTTGCCTCTAGTTAAGGAGTAGTTTACATTTATACAGTCCTAAAATTACATTCAGCCCTTTGAAGGCAACTTGGAGGCTGATGTGGCCCCTGGTGAAAATGAGTTTGACACCCTTGCCTTACAGGGTGATCTGTCCCAGAATTGGTTAGACCCATTAACATCCTACAGGTATTTCATTTACAACTGAGTCTATGGGGGGGTCTTCCTGCTATAACGGGGCTTCTGAGCACCTGCACAGGTGAGTGCCCTTGTTCCCTGTTACTAATCAGCCATCACTGTGGTGTGTTCTGCATACTCTGTCCACTCTAACTGTTCAAGCCATTTTCAGCCATTTACTGCACTGGTGGTCAGGTCAGGGTGCTGGTGTGGCTGACTCTCCGTTTTGCTCCCTAGGGGAACGGCCTCGGAAGGGGAGGGGTTGGGTGCCGACGGGCAGGAGCACAAGGAAGACACGTTTGAAGTCTTCCGTCAGAGGATGATGCAGATGTACAGACACAAACGGGCCAACAAATAGGTATGTGCAGGGGCTGGCACATTGGGCATCCTGCCTAAGCTGGCATTTTGATACACAGCTATGGTTCCTCCAGAAAAGTCAGTGTTCCCCATGCCCCCAAACCAGGCATCAAAATACCACACACACACACAAAAAAATCAAATTATTTGAGGGAAACAAAAGAAGTCTTTGGATGCAGATATTGTCCCCCCTCTCAACTTCCAGGTTTGGCTAAAGGATGTGGGCCTTAGTGCCACATCACCTACACCAAACACAGCTGCATGTGGCCTGCTTATGGTTCCTCTGTGCAGGGCTCCCAGACTGCTGCAGGAGTGGTCTCGTGTCCCCCAAGTGTAAGGGCAACCTGGAAGCTGGTCACAGAGAGTGGTTGCTCTGTTTCCCTCTTTGAGGTTCTTCAGATCCTTTTCCCTCTGAAGGGTCTTGGCCTTATGAATAGCTTCATCTTTCTCTTCTCTTTTGCCCCTCCCTACCCATAATTTCCAACTCAGTTTTGAACAAAATCATTCTCTCCTTGAATAGATGAAAACCATTGGTGAGAAAGATAAGCCTTGAAGCAGCAATCACTCTAAAAACGCCACCTCTGTCCCGGATCCATCCTGGAGTCAGAGCCCAAGTCAGTTCGGTGTGTACGTGAAAAACAAATGTCTGCAGTTTCTGGTGCAGAGGTTCTGCTGTCTTTTCTTTTTCTTAAAGAAAAAAGAATGCACCATTTCCAGTCTGCTTTTACCTTTCCTGTTATTCCAAATGCTTTGGGTAGCAAGTCCCCTCCAAATCTTTCCTGGTTCCCTTAGAAGTGCTGCTGCCCTGGCAGCACCAGCACCTTTAGTGCACAGGAACCAGTTCCTCCTGTTGGCTTTCCCATCCAGGGCACGTTGCTCTCCAGAAGTGCTCTGTTAGCAGACTTGATGCTGAAATGATTACTGATTGTGTCTTCTCTTTGCTTCTAGAATTTAAACAGGATATAATCTGTACTCTGACTGCAGAAGCTGTCAGTGGGAGCACTGAACAAGTGGAAATACTTCATTCTGAGAATATTATTTATGGAGTCTCATTTCTTAAATGCATCCCAAGAGGCTTAACAGAATTTAGCAACAGTATAATATATCTGTATTCAGTGGGGAGTGATCACTGATGAAATGTTCCCTGAATTTATATTTCTCTTTAGAATCCACAAAGAAAGCTACAGTTTGATTTTTCTTTTTAAACCACATATGGAGTCTCCTTCAAGGCATAGGGATAAACTCTTCAAGACTCTTTATTTTTTGCCCATGTGGCAGTAGAGAGAATTGTTTTGTTAGGGCCCTTTCACAGAATAGAAAGGAACCTCTTAGGGTGGGCTCCGCAGCTGTTTGCTATTTCAAGACCTGTGATTGCCCCCGGCCCCCCCCCCCGTTATAGCTTCTCCTAGCACTTTTCAACTACGTGTTAAATTCTCAGGCTGTGGGAATTTCGACCCTTCTTCCTAAAACAGCAGTGTTGAAGCTTTAAATATGTTAAAATGTGGACAACTTGGTCATACTGATACTACAAACTTGAGGAACACAGCAGTGAGTTACCTTGCTGGTTGCTTTTATTGGCTGTTAAGAAATCCTTGCTTTCTCAGAGCACAGATCCAGCTGTAGTGCTGCCCCTCTGGTCTGTCTTGTCTGTTTGTCCTGCTATTCACTGTAGCATCTCACCTGCCCGGTGCCATCTCTCTTCATGTCACGTGTAGCCCCCAGATATCTCTGCCTGCTTCTGATCATTTCTATTGCTTTGGCATCTGGCAGATCTTTATGGCCATGGCAACGCTGTCAGTCTTTCAGCAAGGTGAACTAGCCTGCAAGGGTGCTGTGTTGGGGAGACCCATACCTGTGGAAGTCCATCTTCTGCTCTCTCTTTCCTAATCCTTCCATCAGCCTCCCATGTTGGCTGTGGTTTGGACCACAAGATGGAACTCTGAGAATAGGGCCTTGGTTGCCTGCAGCCTTTCACAAAGTACCTTTTGGCCTGAGTGAGATATGCACTCCCCAGCACATTTTCTCTTTCTCTTTTAGCATAGCTCTGACCATTATGTTCACTCTATCCTAGTGTGCTTATTCTTGGCTTTCTCTGCTTTTATTCACAAATAAAATGCTTTAGGAATTCCTGGGATGTGAGCCCTATCCCCATAGCCTCCTGCCACTCCTCCTTCTAGGGACATCCCGCTTTGAGCTGTCACTGTTTGTGAGACTTTAGTGAATATTAAAGGAAACACCTACTTCTTGAGCCTGTTTAGTCCTCTGAGCACTCATGTGACATTTCTATGGAGTCAACAATTGAGGCGTTGCGGGTGCCAGGGTGGAGCATAGTGGCGTGTCCTGTGCCAGCTGCCGGCCGGGGACGAGTGCATGCTGGCCCTCTGTGCCACCTTGCTGTCTCAGCAAAGGCTGCTCACTCTGCCGGGATCTTGCAAGTGTGTGTGTGGGTGTGTGGCCTTATCAAAGTCACAGCATCTTTTCTGTCATTCTAGTTCCAGGGTCTCTCCCGTGAGGACGACAGGCATCCGGAAAGTGCTAACTCGCCACTTTGGGTGCTTATTGTCTCTGGCTTGTTTCCATCACTGGAAATCAGATAGAGAATTTTAGTGTTTTTGGTCCTTGGTAAAACCTAGAAGACATTTGTGATGTTACAAAATGGAAGTTCTTTGTTTTTCTTTTTTTTTTTTAATCTAAGAAGTTGTGAATGTTAATCATTTAGCAGTTGCAATAAATGTAGAGGAACCCAATCTTCCATGGTCTCTGTTGATGTATTTATAAAATCGGAACAGTTAGAGACACATGGTAGATGTAGTGCCTACATGGAAACAGATCATAAGCTCCCTACCTCAGGGGACTTCCTGTGCCTGCCAGTGGGAACCTGGTCAGTCACCAGGAAAACCCAGGTATGGAGAGCAGGTAGCCAGCCATTGGGGCCCAGCACAGGGGGTGGGCAGGCTGTCTTCTGAGGGAGAAGTAGTGCTAGGAGAAGAAACCTGCCTTTGAGAGGATGTCATGATGTGGGAACCCTACCTTAGCTGCCTATGACTGCCTATGTGCCCCCTCAAGGCCTTATCTGCTCCCAGGGTTGAGGTCGTATCTGTCAGAGATAGACCAAGCTGCCCCTGGGCTTTATCCTGACCTAGAAGCCAACCTGTTGGTGTCTTCAAAGCTCCCTGATGCTCCTATCTGCTGTCAGCTTGTGTCTGATTCCTCTACCAGCTGCCCCTGGCCCTTAGGGTTGGAGGAGAGAGAGCAAAGAGCGCAGCAGGTAGATGAGCTCAGCACGTGTGGACCTGCAGGGGCCTCCGCCTGATGGTGTGACAGGCAGGAGCCAGGCTGCGAGCATACCCAGGGCAGCAGGGAACCTGGGAAGAGTTGGGGTAGGGTCTGTCAGCAGATTAGAGGGAGACAGATGAGACAGGGCTCCTTAGGAAGCTGATGTAGGACCCTGAGCTTCCCTTTTCCCCATTGTGTGCTGGAGGAATCTCGGGAGTGGTGGAAGGATTTCTTCCAGCCCAGAAGGTAAAATTTCCTCTGCTACCTTATAATTTAGGGCTAATTGGGACCTAAATATGCCATTCCTCCTCCTGGAAGCCTTTTGGATATCCCAGGCCCCTGCGAGAGGGAGAGGATACTACTGGAAGGGTCTAATCTTCAGTTTTACTTTGAGGCTTTTTTGGTTTGTGGGGGGCCACAGAGGAAGGGAACCTATCAGCCTCTCAGTGAAGGTGCTCAGTTTCTTCAGCTACTCCTGGTTTGGACCCTGGGAATGGCTGGGCATATTCCCATAATCTCGGACTAGGACTGGGTAGTTGTAGGGTGTGACCTGGTTAATCATGGCAGCATGCTCAGTGTAGGGGCTGCAGGAGGGCAGAATTACACCAAGGCCCCTGATGGTGAAGGACGTAACCTGCACCAGCTCCTTGGCCCAAGCGTCCTTGAGGAAGGTACCGAGTCTTGATCTCAAGTGGTGGTAGCCTCTGGTCTTTAGTTTAAAAGGAGGCTTTTGTTTTACATGTGTGTGCACATGTACATGCACATGTGCAATACATGCATGCATAATATGTGCAAACATGCATGGTCAAGCAATGTGAGTATATTTTCTTAGTAAAAGATAAACAAAACCACAGATAATATGCAGAATGAAGCACAGAGGTTTTCCCTCCTTCCCACTATCACATAAAATAAAATTAAAATTATCACACCAATAAAATTAAACATAAAATTAAGTCTTTTAAATAACAAGACACACCTTGGATACTGTCTAGAAACTCTTTTCCTCACACAACTGGAGGTCCCAGCAACTTTTCCATGTGAGTAAACGTTCTAGTGCCGTTTGTGAATAAGCAACACTGGCCGAAATCCAACAGTGCAAACCTGTCTTCTGAGGAAAAATTCCCAACCTGCAGGCACATACTACTCTCCCTGTTGGGTTTTTTCACTTAAAAATTTACCCCCCAAAATTTAAGTATGTTTTGCAACAGACAGTTCTTTGTCTCACAAATCCCACCTGCAGCCATCAGGGTTGTTCTCAAGGATTGGTTCCTACACCCTACGACACTCTTCTTTGTGGATAAAGCCCTAGAAATGGCACTTCTGGGACCAAGGGCCCTCCACAGTGTATCTGTGCAATCTAACTCTCAGTTGGGGTTGGGGGTGGTAGTGACCCTACCAACATTCCTGTTTCCCCAACAGCGGCTGCCTCACTAGGACATGGTGGGGATCACTCTGCTGCAAACCACAGTCTCAACCCCTCCAGACCATGTCCCTGAGCTGTACTTGGACACAGCCCAGCTGCCACCCCTCTGCTTCCTCCACATCTCCCCTCTCAGCCTCACCCTGACCACCCCAAACCTTGAGTGTCGTGGGTGATGGAGTTCCCAGAAGAAGCTGTGGGCTTGGGCAGGAGTTCCTGGCCCTCCAGGCCTTGATTTTCCCCTCTATCTAATGACCGTTGATGCCAACTTATGGGGTGATAACCATGAGGGCTGAAGATACCCTCCCTGTGGCCATGGGATTGTGGGACTCTAAGCCTCGATTTCTTTGTGAAATGGGGTGGTGGGCTGGCAGGGTTAAATACGGTAACCCAGGACTGGTCTTAGAGAGTTTAGAGGACTAATCTTGTTATTGGTTTTTCCATATCTCCCCCTGCTGGGCCTCAGTTTTCCTACCTGTGAAGCAGACCTTATGTGTGAGGATCTCTGAGCTCTGTTACAGTGTACCCTACCCCACCCTTCCTCTATCAGCTCAAAGATGGGGCAGCAGCCCCAAATTGCCCCAGCCTTTGACAGAGGAAGGGGCCAAGACCAAGTGTCTCGCCAGAAGGGTGATACATGGTAGAATTCCACATGGTTCAGAGATTGGAGGATGATCAGTGCTGGGGCTGAAGCTGAATTCCCACACAGCTACCAGTCTGCCAGCTGTTCTCTTCTACTGTATAGATGGTGAAACTGAGGCCCAGAAAGAGGAGGAGCCATTCCTAGACTGCACAATGAGTTCTTCAAAGCTCTCTTTCTCCTGACTGGTGTAGCTCAGTGAATTGAGCACTGGCCTGTGAACCAAAGGCTCGCTACTTTGATTCCCAGTCAGGGCACATGCCTGGGTTGCTGGCCAGGTCCCCAATAGTAGGCACGCAAGAGGCAACCACACACTGAAAATCTTTAAAAAGGAAAAAGAATTGCAGCTCTGTGATGAATCTGGCACCATTCACTTCCCTCAGACTCCAGGAGGAGGACCTCATGAGCTGAGCCTTCCTTTGTTTTCTCCAGAGATTTCTCAGGTTGTGTTGGGAGCAGTCTCATAGTTCCTGGAATTTATGGCCCAGAAGTAAGGTATCACTTGGAGATTTTAGCATTTACACTTTGATGACTTGTTTTTGCCCAAAGGTATCTCAAAGCAAAGCAGAATTTGAGGGTTCGAATCCTTAGTGTTTATGTGTCCTCACTGTGCTCCGTGACCTAGAGCAAGTGATCTACCTCTGTGAACCTCAGTTTCCTCATTTGTAAAATGGGAGAGTAGTAGTATCTACTGCCATGGTTTTGAGAAACAGTACCAGCACTCCACGAAGCTCACAGATGTTAGCTGTCCCATTTCCACTATTCTCTGTCACTGGGGAACTCTCACTGAGGTTTCCTGTCAGCTCAATTGTCCTCCAAAAAATACTTTCCAAGTTCTTACCTGAACCCCATGATGTGTGACGGAAGGGCCACTGTGGGTGACCTTGCAAATTTGCCTCACTTTCAAAGCTTCAGTTTCCTCATTTGTAGAATATGGATGTTCTTTCTGTCCAAAGCATCAGCTGAGAAGTGTATGTGAATGGGATTCAGAGGAAAGCAGAGAACCAATAAATACCCAAGTAGAGGCATCCCCTCACTGACAAGAACCCAGAGATATGTCACAATTGCTAACACCCAGTGCTGGCCTGTGTCGGAAGGACAGCACCTACCTCCTTACTGGCCTCCATGAGGATCACCCCAACCTTTTTGTTTCTTACTGATATAAAATTCACATCACATAGCCCTGGCTGGTGTGGCTCAGTGGATTGAGTAGCAGTCTGCCAACCAGGGGATCACCAGTTCGATTTCCAGTCAGGGCACATGCCTGGGTTGCAGGCCAGGTCCCCAGTAGAGGGTGCGTAAGAGGCAAGCGCACATGGATGTTTCTCTCCCTCTTTTTCTCCCTCCCTTCCCCTCTGTCTATAAATAAATAAATAAATAAATACGATCCTTTAAAAAAATTCACATAAAATTCACCATTTTAAAGTGAACAATTCACTGGCATTTAGCACACTCATAGTGTTGTACAACCAGTACCTCTATCTAGTCCAGAACATTCCATCACCCTGAAATAAGACCACACCCCCATAAGCAGTCACCCTCCATCCTTCCTCCCCAGACCCTGACAATCACTAATCTGTTTCCTGTCTCTATGGATTTGCCTGTTCTGGACATTTCATATAAATGGGATCAGACATGTGGTCTTTTGTATCTGGCTTCTTTTACTCAGCAAGATGTTTCAAGGTTCACCCACATTGTAGCCTGTGTCAGTGTTTCAGTCCTTTTTTATAGCTGAATAATATTCCATGGTGTAGATGAATCATGTTTTGTTCATTCATTCATCTGTTGATGGGCATTTGAGTTGATTTTACCTTTTGGTAATTGTGGATAGAGCTGCTCCGAATATCAGTGTACAAGTTTTTATTTTCACCCTGTTTTAAATTCTCTGGGCTCTATACTAGGAGTGGAATTACTGGATAATGTGGTAACTACGTTTAACCTTTCGAGGAATCACCAAGCCATTTTCTATCGGGATTGCACCAGACACTAGCCTTTCTGCTGACCTAGCTGGGCTGGTGCCTTTAAACACTGGTACCCCTCTGTTCCCTGGGGCAAACTACTGGGGTCTCCTCAGGGTGTGAGTTTTGATGTCCACAGATATCAGGAGCCTTGCCATGCTGGCAAATGCTGGGGACAAAGCAAATAGAGGTAAGGAAGGAACAATTCAAGGGGGCTTTGGGTGTGAAATATAATGGAGCTCTGGATAAAGGAGTTCAATCTTAGGAAGAGGATAAAGACCAAAGTGGGATGTGATTTTTGTAGAAATATTGTAAAACGTAGACGGATGCCGACATACAGGGACACTCAGCTGTATTTGAGCACAGAGAAGGCCGGTCTACTCCAAAATGTCTGCCCTGGGAAAGAGGGGGCTGGATGCTAGGCCCTCCCCCAGCCATGTGCCTCATTACACAGAAAGGGTTTGCCTGTGCAGTTTTAAAAGGAAATTCATTGAAAATTATTCAGAGGAAGTAAAAATGAGAAAGCGCATGTTAGCAGCAATTGTCAGTTTTTATTTGAGGCAACTGTGGTCTTAGGGGGAAAAAAGCACCAGATTTGAATAGAGACCATCTCTTCCCATTGCTTCCTCCCAGGCCCCAGTTTGCAGGCTGCCATGAGTCCCTCCAGCATCTCCCTGACAGTCTCTCAGTAGCTTCTGTCCATCTATCAGTTGGTTCACTCATTCATTCACTGGATGACCTCCCTGAGAGGGGAGAGGGTCAGCCCTGTACACACAAGATGCTGTTCCCAGGAGAAGGAACAGACCTTCAGGTGAGCAGAGCCAGGACCCACAGCCAAGCCTTCATCCTTGAACTATACACATCTCAGCTGCTTTTGACCAAGACATTCACCCTTCAGACGCATCCTGCTTGAAATCATCATCAATCAGGCCTGAAGAGGACTCCTGAGGCCCCTGCTGAGTCCTAGTCCTGCTCTCTCCCCTTCTCTCTGTGAAATGGATCATGGGTAAGGAACATCTTGCACTCAGCAAACAGTCAAAGGCCACACTGGGTTTACAAAAAGCAATATTCACATTAAGAGTGAAAAAGAAGGGACTTCTCTGAGTGACAATGGGGTCCACATTGGGAGAGTCCCAGGGGTCAGGACTCAGTTGCAATGGTACAGTGGGTACCAGGCATTTGGGAACAGCTCAGGGCACAGCATAGGCAGAGCACATGGCTGCAGGCCCAGCGCAGGGAGGCCAGCTTCGAAAGGCTGCATTCATCTTCCCAGGAAAGGCATGATTCTCTTTCCCTTCAGCCCTCCCTACCCGACGCCCCCTCCTCCGCCCCAGTTTCTTGTTTACCCATTCAGGGTCATGATTTATTTTCAGATGAGAACATCGCCCTCCTCACTCTCTGTAGCAACCCATACTCTGGCCACACTGGGAGAAGGGAGGCCAGAATGAACCCAGCCTAACTGAGAGAAGCCAGGTCTCTGGGGAAGGTTCTCAGTCAGGTCTGGCTTTTGACCTTCTATTCATCCTCATGGACATCAATTAGGAGTGCAGGTGGCTGGAATTTTCCGATTTCTCCATACTCCTGATGAACAAGGAGACTGATGTGCTGTTACAGCACTGTCTGTGGTGGACATGAACAGTGTCATTTGAGAGTTGGCCTGGGTGAGCCAGGCATGGTTCAGAGTGGGTTATGAAGTGTCTAAAAACAAACACTCCTTCAGATCATGCAGACTAATGAGGATGCATTCATTTTCATTTTAAAAAAATTATTATTTATCTTAAGAGAGAGGGAAGGAAAGGGAGAAAGGGAGAGAAACATCAATGTGTGATTGCCTCTCATGTGGCCCCCAACAGGGGACCTGGCCTGCAACCCCAACTGATAGGCACATGACCCAACTGGGAATTGAACCGACAACCCTTTGGTTCTCAGGCTGGCACTCAATCTGCTGAGCCACACCAGCCAGGGCCATTTTCATTTTTAAAACTGTTTATTGTTTATTAGATTTTATGAAGTTGAGTTGACTGTCAGCTCCCACCTTCAATTTGCCAAACTCCTATTCATCCTTCAAAATCCAACACACACACTCCCTCCTTCATTCACACATTCACACAAATGCTACTCTTTCCACTCTCTGTACTGTAAGTGAGAGAGGAATCTGCCGGTACCATGGTCATCTGTTTATAACTCTTTCCCCCTCTAGACTCTGCTCTTGCACGCAGCTCAGTGCCTGGTACACAGTGGGTACTCAGTACATGTGTAGGTCTGGAGAGCATTTTTAAAAACAGCTTTATTAAGCTATAACTCACATACCATTCATTATACCTAAAGTACAAAGTTTAATGTTCTTTTAAGAGATTTACAGTTATATGCAATTATCACCACAGTTCATTTTAAACACTTTAATCACCCCCCAAAATAAACCCATTTTCCATTAGCAATCACTTCCACTTCCCCTCTCCCCACCCCTGGCAACCACTAACCTTCTTTCTGTCTCTATGGATTTTCTTGTTCTGGACCTTTCATATAGATGGAATCACACACCATGTTGGCTTTTATTTAGCATCATGTTTTCGAGGGTCATCCATGTTGTAGCATGCATCAGTGCTTCATTCCTTTTATGGATGAATAATATTCCATTGTGTGGATGGACCACATTTTGTTTGTCCTTCATCCATTGATGGGTACTTGGGTTGTTTCCACCTTTTGGTGATTATGAATTGTGCTGATTGTGCTGCCCTGAACACACATGTTCAATGTTTATGTGGATGTATGTTTCACTTCCCCTGGATACATACTGAAGACTGTCAGTAAATATTTAGTGAGTTTTTTTTACAATTTTTAAAAAGATTTTATTTATTTATTTTTAGAGAGAGGAAGGGAGGGAAAAAGAGAGAGAGAAACAGCGATGTGTGAGAGATTCATCAATCCATTGCCTCTTACATACCCCCAACTGGGGACCTGGCCTGCAACCCAGGCATGTGCCCTGAATGGGAATTGAACCGGCAACCTTTCAGTTTCCAGACCAGCACTCGATTGACTGAGCCGTATCAGCCAGGGCTAATGGTTATTTTGAACCCTGTTTAATAGTCACCTGGATTAGGTAGACCAGAGGTCCACTGCCACAGGCTTTCAAATCAGAAATGTAGGTTGGAGTCTGCCCCCAATGACATCTGTGAAGGAGGCCACCAAGGCCCTAGTTTACTCTGATTTCCTCCATGGGACTGAAGGTTCCACAAGGAGATAAAGCCCTTTTATTGTCAGCTTCTGTAGTCACTTTCTCTCACTTGGGTCTCTCCAAAGTGAAATTTTTGTCCATCAGGCCAGCTGGTCCACCTCTCAGGCTTTTCGAGTCAAAGGATGGTACTGTCCATGGGGCCAGCAACACTCAGGTCTGTGACCTGAATCAGGCCATAGGGGTTTGGGGTGGCTAATCTTGCAGGTCCCTGCCCTGGGTTAATTTTGGTCAAGGGTGGCAGGGTAGGTCAGCACCTTGGAGCGGTCTCTGCCCAGAACTGTGAAACCTGAGGAATCCAAAGTGTTTCTGGCCTGTGCATGTCTTGGACAGTGTCTGAGGCTGAGAGTTTGGCCTGGGTCCCACTGAGAAAGACCAAGGTAAGTGGCTGAGGTTCTGCGGCTGGATACTCTCCGTTTGTCCAGGAAAATCTTGTCTCTGACAAGCAAGCCCTGCCTGCCACCATGCTGGGCATCTAAGTGCCTGTAGCAGTCCAGGCTCTCCAGAGAAATAGAATTAACAGGATATACTGCATATATGTACATTATATACAGTGTAAGAGACTTGTTTTACAGAATCGACTCGTGATTGTGGGGTAGTAAGTCTGAAATTTATGTTCAGCACACTGGAACTCAGGGAGGGTTTCTATGTTGCAGTCTTGAGGAGAGTTTCTTTTTTCCCAAGAAACCTGTTTTTGCTCTTAAGGCCTTCAACTGATTAGGTGAAGCCCACCCAGGGCATCAAGAATAACTTCCTTTCCTTAAGGTCAACTTATTGGAGATGTTAACCACATCTAAAAAGCAACATCTAGAACAGCATTTGGCCAAAGAACTGGGCACCATTGCCTGACCAAGTTGACACTAAATTTTAACCATGAGTATGCTTCCCTGTCCGCACCCCTACAAACCCACTTGCTAAAATGCCAAATCCTCTGAGAATTTTCCGTGGCACGCCCACTACAAAGGAGAGAACACAGAGACATGTTGACTGGCAGCATCTGGGCAGAGGGAGCCAGAAGGGGAGCGAGCTGGGCAGGCATGAGGGGTACCTATGGGAGGACAGTGGAGTTGTCAACAAGTGCAAGAGCTCCAAGGACAGCCAAAGAATTTGACTTTGCTACAAGGGGATAGGAAGCGATAGTAGGTGTTGGAGTAGGAGAGGAGTATGGTTAGGTACACCAACCACTGCAAGACTTGTCATTGGCTGTTATGGCTCTGTCAGCAGCTCCAGGTGAAGGGCAGTGGAAATCAGAGCCCAGTCCAGTCCAGAAATAGCAGGGTCCAAGCTAACAGTTGTTCCACAATCTTCACAGAGGTTGCCCCCACTTGACAAAAATAGTATTTGTTGTTTTCCATTATTTTCAACATGTGGTCTTAATCCTCAGCATTGCAGGTCTTTTTACCCTTTTCATTAAAGTTTTCATTTTGAAATAATTCTATATTTGCATGAAATTGTAAAAAATAAGAGAATTGAAAGCATATATTCATACAAAAACGTGTACATAAATACAAAATAGTCAAAAGTGGAAATAATCCATAGTTCTACCAACTGATAAATGAATGAATAAAATATGAAATATTAATACAATGGAGTATTATTCTTCTACAAAAAGGAGTGAAAAGTGATGCAGACTACAACATGGATGAAACTTAAAAACAATGCCAAGTGAAAGAAGCCAGACGTAAAAGGCCATATATATGGTTCCACTTACATGAAATGCCTAGAATAGGCAAATCAGTAGAGACAGAAAGTACATCAGTAACTGACACAAGGCAGAGAGAGAGGAGAATAAGAAGTGATTGCTAATTGGCACCGAGTTTCTTTTGGGGGGTAATGAAGATATTCCAGAGGTAGTAGTAGTGATGGTTGTACAACTTGGTGAATGTACTAAATACTCACTGCACTGAACACTTCCACCAGGGAGAATATCCTGCATGAATATAGTACATTATCATAACTGGAAAATTGACATCGATATAATTGATGGGTCTTATTTAGATTTCTTCAGTTTTACATACATTCATGTATGTGCCTCATAGAATTTTAAAGAAATAATAATAATGGCAGTAGCTGTTTGAGTGCCAGCTACACAATAGGCTTACTCACAAGAGCTCTGGGAGGTGGGGACCATCTTCCAAAAGAGGCTCAGAGTAAGAAAGGCTTCACCCAAGATTGAATTTTTGTGGATGGCATGAAGTAGAGACCACTTGTTTTGTTCCACAGGGAATCTGGTAGCTCCAGAACGACTTCTAGAAAAGCCTATCCAGGTCCAGGCTCATACAGGTAACCAGGGGTGGGGCGGAGATTCCAATCCAGAAACGGCTGACTCTACCCAAAAGAGTCACCACATCCCTATGGGCCTGAGCCGAGCCAGCTCTGCCCTGTCAGCACAATGCAGTGACTTCTGAGAGAGTTTGTCAAAGGAAGCAGGGCAGGGAGGCGCAGGCAAGCTTTAACTTGCTTCCTTTCCACAGGACCATGAAATGTCCCACTCAGCCTCTGCCTACCCTGACACCACCTTTTCTTATTTTTTCCTCCTTTTCCTGCCTTCTTCTGGGGGAAAGGTGGACATCGGGCCATGTGTGTGTTTCCTGTACACGTTTATGCCAAAGAAGTTCAAGGTCATGGGAGTTGTGAACTTGAGGCCCCCAGTCTACCCTCAGACCTGTCCAGGGCCTCCCAAGTCTCCCCAAATCATGGAGAAGCTCTGTCAAACATCTAGACCTCCAGGAGCCTCCTACACTCCTCTCCTTCAGCCTCCAGAACATCCTCCAACCCTTGACCAGCTTCTCATGATCATGGCCCTCACTCAGTCAGGCCATTTCTCCCCCAGAGGCTGCCCCAGCTCATCTTTGGTCTCCCTGAAACCACAGTCCCTGCAGACCATTCTCTGGACAGCAGCCACAGGAAGCTTTCCAGAACCTATAAACCACACCAAGCTACTCCCTAGCTCAAAACTTTCCTATGATTCCCAGCACCCTAGAGTAGAACCTACCCTTGGCGATCCCTGGCCTCCTCACCATCCTTCTCCCTCACACTCACCCTGCCCCAGCTTCGGCATCCTCCTTGCTGTTCCTCAGACATGCCCACCCCTTTCTTCCTCAGGACCTTTGTGTGTCCTGTGCCCTCCATTTGGGATGCCCTTCCTCCTGATATCATTGTGCCTGACTTTTCCTCTTTGCAGTCTCAGCTCAAATAGTACCTCCCCCACCCTCATTTGTATGCTCTCCAGGCCATGTCCTGCTTCCTGTTTGATTTCCTTCTCGGTATATATTGCCACATGACCGCTCCTTGTTTATATATTTGCCTTTTATGATTATGGTAACCCCCAAACCCAGCACAGGGCCCAGAACATGGTTAGGACTCAAAATATCTTTGTGGAATGAATGTGAACAGATGAACAAGTGAATCAACTGAAATGATTAAAGGACCAGAAGTCATAAGAACCCCTTCTGAGGTCCAGCTACTGTTTACACAGTAATAGTATAAGAGCAACTGTGGGGAACTGTTTACACCTCCCCTGATTTGGAAATCCCCAGCCATGACCACTGGGCATCTCTGGAAGGAGTCAGGGTGGATTGGTGATAGTGGTGCAGCCCAGCCCCACATTCACGTGGCTTGGTGCCCTGGGGCATCCCCAATGCTCTGAGCCTCAGTTTCCTTCTCCGAAAAATGGGTATAATAATAATTGTGAACTCCTGTGCCACATGAATGAATGAATGAATGAGTGAATGAATGAAACTATGCCAGGGAATGATGAGAGCTTTGAAGACAAATAAGAGGACAGATGGAAAGTGCTGGAAGGGGCATGGTGGGTTGACATGGTAATGAAGGGAAGCTTCCTGGAGGAGATGACACTGAGCAGAGTTTTGGAGACTTTCGAAAGCCAGAGACCACCACCCCCCCCCAGGTTGGGGGCGCTGATTTTTTTAATTGAAGTAAAATTCACATAACACAAATTAATTATTTTAAAGTGTGTAACTCAGTGGCATTTAGTACATTTACAGTGTTGTGCAACCACCACCTGTATCTAGTTCCAGAACATTTCATGCCCCCAAAAGGAAGCCCTGTATCTATTAAGAAGTCATTACTCAGTCCCCCTTGGGGAGCCTCTGATTTTAATCTATTTCTTGCAATGCCAATGTCTCTAACATGTATTTGCAAATATCAGTTCAGAGAAATGGACACACAGTGAGATATGGCACACGTGGTATGGAAGGTGGTGTGGCTATAGGTGTCCATCAGAAACCTTGAAAGTGTATGATTCCACTTTCACAGTCATCCCCCGAAAGCATTCCTTGGGAAGCACTCTAGATGCTCAACCACAGGGGATCAGTTTAACAAATCATAGAAGAGTCCTGATAAAATCTCTCAACACAAGAGGGCAGACTGGTATCTACCGATATGGAAAGTGGGCCTCCACTGAGAAGTCCTGGGTAAAGTGTGGTTGCACTGTGGCTGAGAAAAGGGGAGAAAAATCTGGAATGAAAGAGACCATTGTGTTACAACAGTGATTTCTGCACATGCACTTTTTTTAACCTTTTAAATAAAATTTATTTTTTATTTAATCTTTATTGTATTTTTAAAAGATTTTACGTATTTATTTTTAGAGAGGGGAAGCGAGGGAGAAGAAAGGGAGGGAAACATCAGTGTGTGATTGCTTCCCCTACCAGGGAGCTGGTATGCAACCCAGGCATGTGCCCTGACTGGGAATCAAACCGATGACCCTTTGGTTCACAGGCACTCAATCCACTGAGCCACACCAGCCAGGACTCTTTTCTTTATTGTAATTTTTTTCCTATTACCATTTAGTCCCCTTATACCTCTCTCCCCCCTCCCCACATTCACTTTATTCTTACAATTTCATTCACTCAACAGATTTTTACTGAGCACCTGGTGTGTGCCAGCCCACACCCACCAAGGGCAGTGATGGCATCTGAATTTAGTTTGTTTCTTGTGCCAGTGTGTTTTAACTCACCAGTGAACACCAGATACATTGTAAGTTCGTAACAGAAATGCATTCAGGCAATTAAATGCTATGACAGTGGATCTATTTGTACTATTTACTTTATACTTGTCTGTTTTTCCTTTGAAATGGATTTTACACTGAGTATATATCACTTTGGCAATCAGAAGAGAAAATACCTAAAGCAGATTCCATTAGAAAATGTATGTATGTCCCCACCTCCCCCACTTTCTATGCCCCAGAGGCCACACCTGTTCCTGACCTCTCACCAAGAATGAGGTTGGTACATCCCAACTCCCGGAGTTTACTCACCAGCCCACTAGCCACTCAGCACACTTGCCACTATCTCAGAAGGGTCCCGTGGGTTCCTCAGCTCTTGGCATTCCCCACTCTCTCTCAGGCTCAGTTTCTGCAGCTGTAGAAGGTGGCCATGACAGCTCCCACCAGGGCCAGCTTCTGAGTTTAATGCTCCGATGTCACTGTGTTATTAAAGTTCTGAATAATTTTTTAACAAGGGGCTCTGAATTTTCCTTTTGCGCCAGGTCCTGCAAGTCAGTCAGGCAATACTGCTCTTGCTGGGTCTGTCAACAAGCACTTACCCTGTGCCCAGCAGTGATTCTCTGCCTGGGAAGTATGTGGCCACTGCTCTCAGGCCTCCCAGGCAGTATAAGACAGGACAGGACTTGTACCCGGGCCCCTGATTGCAGCCTGGACATACTTCCCCCCACACCCCACCCCGTTAATGCAGTCAGTGCCTAATGTGTGACTCTTTCTCTGAGTGGTCCTCCTCCCCCGGCCTAGGGGACAACAGGCTCATCTGCAGGAAGCAGATGTTTCCGTCCAGTTGGAGGCCTGGAATGTCAGTTAAGAGAGAGAGAGAGAGACAAAGAGACAGAGGGAAAGGCCTTACAAGGCAGAAGGGGGTTATTGAGACAGGTTTCTTCCCTAGGGTTTGAGCTCAGAGCTTGTGGCCAACTCTGAAGATATAATAGCTCTGACAGCAATGTCATTTGTTTATCAGGCACAACCCAGTGATAACCAAAAAAGATAGTCTCAGACTCACCCTCCTCAGTCCCTTTGTCATGTGGCACTCTGGTGAATCTTATCTGAAACATGTAAAAGTAGATCATTTCCCCTTTCCTGCTCAGAAGCCTTTCATGGCTTCCCAGGTCTGTGAATATAAACTCTATGCTCTGCTGGGGCCTGCAAGGCTCCTCGTAACCCATCCTGTGGAGCTTCCAGCCCACCTGGCTCTCCATTATCCTCCCAAGTCACCCTGTTCTGGCCACACCTGCCTCTCTGATGCTCCTGCAAGGGACTGAGCACATTCCCACCTCAGTTTCTTTGCACATGCCACTCTCCTGAATGCCACTACCTCCTCTGTCTGAGCAGCCTTCACTGACCACCTGCCATCGCCTGATGCTTTGTATGTTTTTTTTTCTCTTTTGTAAAAAGCTGTCAGAAGCCATCCTACTTAGTCCTCTATTTGTCATCCATCTTGTCCACCAGATAGCTGTGCTGTCCCTCAGGGCAGGACCTCGCACAGTGCTGAGTAACCCGAGTCTTACAGAGGAGGAAACAGGCCCAGGGAGGCCCCCAGTGCAT